ATAAACCACTATCGTATTACATAGCCTCCCTCCTCTTTTGAGCGTCGTCCCCGGCGCTCCCACAGGTCAACCTCCCGCGTCAGCCATTACAACGCAGTCGGCGCAGTAAAGAAACACCCACGAGCCGACCGTGCCAGTCACCAAATTAGCGTGCAACTGCGGGGATACTTGACCTCAACGTCATTAATCCCTCTTGGCAGCTTAACTGGATCTGGGGTCTCGTCCAGTTTAGGGATTTGATCCAGGATGGGGAACTGCGTCGGCCACCATGCGTGTCCATAGATAGATGCAGGAACACTGGCCTAAAAGCAGATTTGAGTAAGGAAGTACAAGATTTAAAACAGGTCCATGGGGGACGGTAGGGAAAATCCGTAACGAAACTTCCAGATGTTTCACGGCTAGTGTCGCTTCAGTTGTTAATAGCTTTTCTGCAGAACACGGGACTGGGAGAGATGCCGAAGGTAGACGTCAACATCAACCCTTCTGTTGAAGGTCATCACCATCCTCCCATCCGTAGCATATGTACTTCTTCCGCTCCACTAAGGCTTATTATGCAGAAGTGGAAAACCAGAATACATGTCTTTTAAGATTGGGTCCCACCGCTGCCACCAATGTAGCGTCCCGAGACTCCCTTAAGACGAAAGAAGACACAATGCTCGGTCAGAATATATATATTCAGCACGGAGAAGGTGTCTGGGGTATTGGCATGGCCCAAAAGGCCAGTCCACCCAGCGAGGTACAAGGGGATTAATTCAAAGTACAAAAGTCGCGCCTCACCAGAACCGAGGGATAAACCACTATCGTATTACACTACTGTACCCTGACTTATTACGACTTGGGATAAAATACGGGCAACTGAATTATTATTCACTAAAATGTTTGCAGTTGATTAGGATTTCAAACTAAATATCAAAAAAGAGACTAGCAAAATGGCAATGCAACTACCAATTATGTGTTTTATGCCTGGTTGACATTAAAAATACTCTTTTAAAAGGTAGCTAAAGGACACCACTTATGTCAAAACTAGTTGAATAGGTCTAATTTTAGTTCCACAATCCTTACCTTCAAACACTTTGCTTCCACACTAAAAGTTTGCGCCATAAGATACCAAAATGCAAATTTCTAGTGATACTTTGGCAGCAAAATTTGACATTTGATTGTTTTAATTCTTGGAGGCAGGAGAGCCACTGCTTTTGAAATATCCGCACGAGTTTTGCCTTCGGATGCATATCAAGAAGAAGCCTAAATGCGAAAATAATCCCATGCGGGACATCCGCATACAAAAGCTCTGCCTGAATATTTGCGTCGGTGAAAGCGGTGATCGTCTCACTCGTGCTGCAAAAGTCTTGGAACAACTCACCGACCAGCAGCCCGTTTTCAGCAAGGCTCGTCTCACCGTCCGAACATTTGGCATAAGAAGGAATGAGAAAATTGCTGTCCACTGTACGGTTCGTGGTGCAAAGGCCGAGGGTATTTGGAATACTTGCCGTATATTTGTGTAGAAATTCTGGAGCGTGGTCTGAAGGTGAAGGAATATGAGTTGCCAAAGTCCTCGTTCAGTGCTATGGGGCATTTTGGATTCGGTCTGACCGAACACATTGATTTGGGCCTGAAATATGATCCCTCCATTGGTATCTATGGCATGGATTTCTATGTTATCCTGGGTCGTGCCGGACAACGTGTGTGCCACAGGTAACTGCCTGAATTAGCTACTTACTTCGTTAGGCGGCGATGCGTCTCAAAAATCGGAACCAAGCATCACGTCACTCGGGAGGAGGCCATGAAATGGTTCCAAAGCAAGTATGATGGTATTCTCATCAACAAATAAAGGAGGAAATATAGGCGGTGCGGTTTACCAGGCTGTCTTGTTTGTCTCGAGGTTTTTTTTTCATGTATTTTATCTTACTGAGTTCCTGCTTGTCTATGCTTTGGCGGTCTGTGCGTCTAGTGAAGACTAACTTTGTACTCTAGGTGTAATACGCTTGTATTAGCCTTTTTGCAGTTTAGGTCAGTAGTGATAAGTTTGTGCTGTGGCGCTGTCTGGGCTGCTGTGTCTTGCGTTTTGAATAGCAAATGTGGTAATGTGATTAGGGCATTGAGCTTTAAGGAGCAGGTGTGCGTAGATTTTGTGGATTGGGGCAAGGCATGCTATATGCTGTTTAGGTTTGCTGTAATTTTTTTTGCCTTCCGGTTTTGATTGAAGCTGTCCGGAGTGTGTGGACTTCGTTGTTTGGGAAACGCTCCGGTGGCTGGCGCCCTTGTGCGCTAGGGGCGCTCGCTGATTTTTGGTTGGACGCTGCCGCTAATTGAGCTTCGTTGCGCGCTTCCTGTGGCGGATGCAAAGCTGAGTCCTGCGTAGGAAAGAGGTGGTGTCGAAGCTACCTCTGGTACGGTTTTTGGCAGGCTAGGATGTAGAATGATGGCAATAGGCCCCTCTCGACCTGCTCATCAGGTTGTTTGGCTTGGCGCGTTCCACGCCTTGTGGCACGTTAGGGCTTCTTGCCTGCCGAGGTCGGCATTCGTGCGCGAGACTTGGGGTCTCACCTTACGACAGGTGGGCTATTCAGGCTGGTCCCCAGCTTTGGTACTCCACCCAGGAAGTGCCTTCACGGAAGGAGAGGCGCGACGATTCTGCGGGTTGACGACCGCGGTCAACCTCAGCATTGAGGTGTGGATTGGCATTAAGAGTGGTTAAAACGGTCGCAGGTGGATTAGCTGGTACTAGAGGCGATTGTTTCGAGAAGCAATTTAAAGGGACATGAATGCAGAATGGGGCTTCTCTGTAGGGTGCGCCTTCTGTTAGATTCTCTCGAAAGTATTTCCGAGAGCCGTGGGATCAATGCTGGGAAATAACCCTTTTGGTAGGTAAACATGAAAGGCAATTTGGGTGCGGTTATTCAACAATGATCGATAATTGAACTCTAGCCAACTGACAGAAATGCCTGTCCAAGCAACATTAAAGCAATTTCTAGTAAACCTTGAAAAAGAATTAGTTGCCAATAATGAATTGCAAAATCATAAACTGCAAATCAAAACTGGGAACGAATTAACAGATCCAAATAATGTAACTCAATTGAAAGGAAGATAATGGGTTCTCGCAAATACACAAAAATGCCATCATATGGCATGTCCTAATTTTAAAAATAATATTCACGAGTCTTCTCTTTATTTTTTTTAAAATTACTCACAACTTTCAGGGTAATATTCACTACTGTTTTCTTTAAACGTCTCGGAAGGTGACTGGCTGAAGAAGCGGTGTTTTGAGCAGATGTCTTCAAAGGTTCCATGGGGTGTCGTGGGGGTCAGGTTATTTGTTCAGTGAACTAGGGCAAAACAATCGGGTACAATAACTAAAGGAACTGGTGCATTATTTTTGCCCGATCTTAATGCATTTTTGTGTGAGATCGAAGTTCAATTTGTTCTTTCACATAGTGCCACTTATTTTTTCTGCAATGCTGAGGGTAAATTAGACTTCATGTTATCGTCACATCAGATGGCCGAAGTGGGTTTTGAGGATCCGGCGGTTGTCCGGTTGTATAATAGTCTTGTGAATACATCTGCCAATGACCCTTATGAGGACGCCATTCGATTTCTGGAGTTTGTTCGTGCCTCAAAGGATGTAATTTATCAAGTGCAAATTATTATCTTACTTATAGACAGATGGCTGTCCTGCGAGGCTGCGTTTGGATGCCCCCACTTTAATATCTGCGGGTGCCAAGCCCCAGGTTATTGAAAGACAGTACGTCCACCTTGTGTACAATTTTTTCTTTGAATTTTGCAGCATGAAATTTCTTTTGCTGGTACAGTTTGAATACACAAAGTCATTACCTTCGCATGACCCTAATTCCATTGATTATGAATTAAGTGATTGGGTATGTTTTGTTTCTTATGTAACCAGTCTTTAAGGCTACTCAAATTTTAGAAAGGCTGAGCATATGCTCACTCAGCCGGTCCGATTGGAAAAATTTCATCAAAAATGATCTGGTTGATAGGTTAGTCTTCGTAACTCAATACTGTTACCCTTTAGATTTGCCAGTACTCACGGTAAAACTCTCGCACAAATATATATGGACATTGGACTTGAGCCCCCTTCGTGCCTTCCGCAGTTGGACGAAGCGGATGATGACAATAGTGATGACGACAAAGTTATTGATGACTCTTCCAGTTTCCCTGCGTTAAATCTGGAAGATCCGGTGACTTTGGTGCAGCGCCTGAAAGCATCTCCTGGGTTTGTCAACTTGTCTTGATTAGAATATGGTGATTTTTCTTTTTTAGGAAAATGCTCTCCCCTAAAAGTGCTAAGATTTCGGCAAGGAATTCTCTACCACGAGCACTGTTCACCGATTCGATTGTCTTTTCTTCAGGCGAGGGTGCATCTTGGCTCTCCGCTTCACAGACCTCTCCTGAGTAAGTTAGCGTGCTCTCTAACGGCGTAAATATCACCTTTTAGGGGTTCTAGCATTGCATCAACTTCCTACTTGCAGTCTACCAGCCATACGGGGAGAGAGTATGTCACCCGTTCTAAATCTGGTACACCTGCGCCCCATTTAGTCCTGATGCCAGCCTCGAAATGTAAGAAGAGTAGACGGAAAGCCAGAACTCCAATAAAGCGGGGTCCTGGTCAACATAGTCGATCACCTATGGTGGGAACGGACTCTAGGAGTAGGTGAGAAGTCACCCCTGTAATTTTGTAATCGTCTGAACGATCATGTGGCCCTCCTCTTAAGAACATTGTCTTGAACACCCTCTCGTTATTCCTCTAGGAGGCGGCGAATACCTTCTGGCTCGCATGGTGGTAGCGGTCGGCGCAAATTGTTGCATCGGTCGGTGACAGAGACACCTAATCCGAAAATGTCGCATCCCCGATGGGAGCGTGCTCGGATGGCGGCCGCGGAAAAAACAAAGGGTCGCGTGGGTCCTCATGAATTTACGTTATTTTAACCATTCGCCTAATGAGATTGTGTGCAAAGAGGTATTTTTAAGAGTTGATGCAGTTTTTTTGCAACTCCAATTGGTCGTAATTTTAATTGAAAATGCATTCCGAAAAGAGGGGTGAATTTGATGAAATTCATGAATGTTTATGTTGGCGTTAGGTGAGGACTCTGCTTTAATACTAAGTCACTCAGATACCTATCATAGGAAATAATATCTTTCCTCCTAATTGTTCTGATGTGAGTCCTGCTAGTCCGTAATGGTTTAGCTCCTAGAATCTCCCCAAGGTAACGAATACCGTGACTTAAATTCACATGCTTTGCTCAAGTGTGCATGGACGGGCACTATTCGTATGAAAATTTCTAATGCGATCCCAATGGAATATAGAAATATGAATTATTTCAATTTCAAAGTACTAATTTGACTTTTGCATTTTTCTCGAGACGCTGTGATCAAAACCGCGCACTAGCGACATTTCGGAATGCAAAATGCATTCAGAATTTCACGCCGCAAATTTTCTCCATAATCTGTTGTTGATGTGGCTAGAAGTATTAAAATCATTTTCAAGATTTTGGGGTAAAAAGTTCATAATGGGTTCTCACCATTCCCTGTCATTCATTGCAGTTATGTCCTGAATCCATGCCCAGGACGAAAACCGGAACAGCCTGACCAAAGTCAATTGTACGGGACGAAGGTTTTTTAGGGCCGACCTACGAATTTCGAATTCAGAAAAATCTATATAGTTACCATTGCTCATCGTGTTTGTTTTTTTTTGCGGAAGACTTAGACTAAGCCATACATTGTGTCAGTTAGATTTTGCTACTCTTGTACATGAAGATTCGCTTTTAGTTTCCGCTTTACTAGCAAAACAATACGAGCAACAGAATGCGAAGTTCAAATTTCACGTGCGGCACTCAAATTCCCCTTATGGGTCATAGAATGCAGGACCCTACGAATGATTAGATGCGTGTGTGTGTGCCCTATGGTCAGAATTCTAAGCATCAAGCGTGCCTCTCCCTCCTTATGAACGCACTCACATCCAGTTGGTGATAGTGGCCGAGTCTCCGCTCAAGCCCTCCGAACCGGGCGCAGTGATGAGCAGCCCCCTGCGTCGACTTCGGCGCGCCTCTTCCCTCCTCAACTTTAGGAGAAGCGATTTGAGTGGCGGCGACAGCGGTGGTGGTGCCTCCTCCGCTGCTTCCACCTCCCGACTGAGTGTCAAGGCGGAGCTGTGGCAACGACGCCAGATGGAGGAGGAGGCAAGTTTGAGCCAATTTAGTGGTGGGGAAAGCAACCTCTCCCAATCTGTCGCCTCTGTTGCCTCGATGGCTTCTCCACAATTTCGACGTCGGACTTCAAACCTAATGGCAAATCTTATCTCCCTCCGCTCACCACAGTCTTCGGCTAAGAGTGCGACAAAGCCCGCCCTTAGTTCGGCGGTCTCATCGCCTCCAGTGTTGAATTTGTCGAGGCTGAAATCAGGTATTGTTTACCGGCATTTACTTTAAGGGGTCTGTGGATTTTCTGCCAAATTGATGTAGCTTTGATGTATTGTGATCAAGAGGCGCCCCTTGTATTTGTTATGAGAGGGTCATTTTGAGTCTCAGGTATTACCTTATATTTAAAAGTCAAAGGGAAATCCACTTTAAATACTACGATTTTATTTGATGAACTAGCTGTCCAACTGATCGGCTATTGAGGCTTCGAATATTCTTTTCATCGGTTTTAATACTAATTGGACATGCTTGTTTTAAGTGCCTAAGATTTGATTTTACTTATTATTTGGCCTTTATGGCTTTGAAAAAGGTCATTAATGGCGTGCAGAGTTCGCATTATATATTTGCTCATTTAAATCCCCTCATGTTATGCGGTTGAAAAGTCCTTAAACCGGCTCGGTTATGCTTGATGTTCAGTATGGTTATCGCTTTTCCCAACATTGGTGAGCGGATATACTTTAAAATCATTTCGGCCTGTTGGGTATGGTTTAGATCCAGGCTGAATGCCCAGGGCATCGTCTTTTTAAGCGTTCCTTAAATGATTGCGCCAATTTTTTGCCACATTAATTGAGACTTGAACTCATTTCTGCCTTCATCATCTACTCTTCTCGTTAAATGAGATGTTTTCGTCTCGAATTAATTTTCTACAAATCTCTTTCACCATCTCTAGATCTGAATAGTCATGAGTGTAATCTTTTCGGTTTCACCGGTGGTAGATAATTTAATGGGAGATGCAGAGTCGCTAGTAGCATCATGAAACGTCTCCGTGTTAATATGTTTTCCTTGCTTACACATCTCACAATATTCCTCTCTGTCGAGTGGCCTATTGCCAACACGTTTTATCCAAATCTTCGTAAAATGGTGCATTGTTCCAACGAAAGTAAGATGAAAAATGCATCTTTTTAGTAGACAGTCGTTGCTTCACCAGCATTTGATCAATTCATGTAGGTTACAAACACAATCTTAGCAGATGGAGGTCCGATTTTCTCAACGAAGCTTATTTATCCTCCTTTGTTTAGAGTTTTCACAACCACGACCACCACTGGTGCCGTTAAAGGATCTCTTCCAAGACCTTGACGCACCTTCCAGCGCCACCACTAGCACGCCCTCCAAATCGGTAAAGACGCCGGCCAAGCGCCCACCATCGACTGGCGCGACGCCAAAGCGTCGTAAAACAGGTCCGAGGGGGCCAGTGGCTGTGGTGGTGGAGGTACCCACCTCTCCACACATCTTCGACGAGGCCACAATGTTTCCCGGGGAGGGAGAGTTCTTCCAACGCACCGCCACCGATCTCCAGCGGTATGTTGATGCTTTTATGAAGAGTTTTGAGAGGGTGTTTGTACGAAATGAGTAAGTCACTTTCTAGGATTCTGTCTAGAACTGTTTTCATGATCTTTCACGTTGGTTTCAGTTCCAATGAGGAAATCCTCCTTAGTACGCGCTTAAATGTGTTCATTAGCCTATGGAGTATAATCAGCCTTGCTAGTTCCAGTAAAGCGGGGCTTATTACTAGTACTGTTAATTTCTGCTCTTTGGACTCTCTGTCTTCCTATTTTGGTTTTATCGAGGGGAAAAGAGCATCGGATTTGTAACGGTGCTAGCTTTTTGTCAACATCAGAGGATTGCACTTTCATTGTGCTCTGTTCCGTTTAACAGCGTTTTCAACTCATTTGAAATCTTATCCCGAGTTTTTTTTTAATCAGCCAAGAAATTCCCCAATCAAATTTTAACGACCCAGTTAGCTCATAATGTAGTTGTGCGAATTACTTTTCTTCTCGTTGCAAGATTTTGATTCGCTTTTGGATCCATTCTAGTGGGTAGAAATAGTTTTGTTGGAAAGCACCCCATTGATCTATTCAGCCAGTGTTCTTTGGTATTGGACGTCGACATTTGTACAACTTCCAGGATAGTTTGTCTTTTAGCTAGGTAGCAATGGCTTGCGGTGAGGCGCTCAAGTTATTATTACTGTTGTAAAAGCCCAAGAGGATTGAAAAGTTTGAAAATTTACAATATGATTTATAGATGCTCATAATCCGAAGTGTTTTAATGCTGGAGTGATTGTTGATACCCAAATCTGAAAAGGAGGGCTCCTGAATTGTCTTCTCCGACCTTTCGCTTCAGAAGGACCCAGCCGCTAGGAGGTGGTGATTCCCATACCACGCCAAGGAAATGCGTTTCCCGCCCTCCTTCAGCGAGTGGTGGCGGTGACAAAAAATTACAGTCAATTGCGGCAAAGAGAGTGGGAGAAGTTACGCCGTCGCGACTTCGAAACCCTCTCATCCCCTCTGGCAACACCCGCAGTGTGATGCGATCTGAGGCATTTGGGTAGGCTCTCTAAATTAGATCTGAGCCATCTTTTAGAACACATGAAAATACTTTTACATTAATATGAATACCAACCTGGGAGAGGCTTTGATTGAGCTTCCGTACAGAGGATAAGACTAGTGCTTCGCCATGCACGCTGTTTAAGTAGTTCAACATTTTGGGGGTTAACCCCGTGTCGTTGTTTCAAAAGCACACTACCTCTTTTCGAAATAATACCCAGCGTTAGCTTTTGGTCGAGATTATGCACTACTGAGATTGAAGTACCCCAGTAAGAAAACGATTTAATTATCTGCCAGGTTCGCGTGCTCACAAGCACACTACTGTGAAGTGGCTGAATTAAGCTTTGGGGAGAGTTATATGCAGGTGGTGATTACAATCCATCATGAGTAGTTAAAGTGTACATCGGCTCTGTGTGCCAATCAAATCATCCAAGAAATTCCCTCTCACCCAACTCATTGCCCTCTGTATTTCCTTCAATTTGAAGGTGTTTTTTGTCGGCGAAATCTCTCCTAACCCCTGAGTCTTCCGTTAAACAAATTTGCCCATGAAGCCAATATTTGAGTCCCGTTCTCCCAGATTTTCTGGTGGACGTGAAGCTTGTGGGACTTTCTGTTTGTGTGTGTGTGTGTGTGGGTGCTGTTTACTTTTTGGCCAGAATTTATCATTTGTGTAGTTGATTAATGTAGCTCCCATTTTCGAGCCCCTTTACCGACCTTTGTCCACTGCTAATCTTGATTTCTGCCTCTCGAGTTGCATTCCCGAGTCTGTTTCATAAAGCTCTGCTTCGAGTTGTTGAGGTGTTTTTCATAGCATTATTCGACTCAAGGCGGATCAGAAACCAAGGCAGATCTGTTAATGTACGCAACAGAAATGCGTGGCTTGTGGAACTATATGCTCTGCGTCGTACGCGGGCACTTTATTGTAGGTTCGGCTTTGCAAGTGGGCACAGCGGTAGGGGAGCTTTTCATACTTCTTGGGCACTCAAAAGTAGGCTAAGGAAGCACACTGTGAGCAGTTGATTATTTTACGGAGGATTTGAGCATATCATCTTCTCTTTTTATACAGTTGGAATCAATTTCTATGGGGGAAAAGGTGGTTGTGCCTACTTGACCCCAAGACACTCGTCACTAAAAATACACTCATATTCGAAGCCCAAAGATCAACAAAGTTAAAATGTGTCCTTTCGCTTTCGAAGGGAACAACCCGTGGTAGGTGGTGGTGGACCCTACACGACACCAAGGAAACGCGTTCTCTGTTTGCATTCGCCAGGTGGCGGCGGCGGCGGCGGCGGCGGCAACAACAACAAAGAATCGCAGCTTACTGCAGAGGAGGAGGAGGGAGGAAATGCCATCTCATCGCATTTCCTAGATCCCTTCAGTCCTGCTGCCAATACTTGCAGTGCGCTTCAGTCAGAGGCATTCGAGTGAGTTAGCCCTTGCGTTAAATGAACATAGCGGCACGATTCCATGATGCTTGAGGCAAAAGTGTTTCAGTAGTGGTTTAATTTTCTGTTAGGTTTTTAATGAGCTATGCACAAAACTTGCCGTTTCGGCTGAAGTTTCCTTCCATCTGATAAGCTTAAACGAATTCACAAGGGTAAGACATCGCCGGTGATTTCCCGTTTACCAGCACTGTCAACGTTTGGAAACACACAGTTAATAGTGGCCTGGAATTCCTCATTATGGCCCCTTTCTCCTCTTTTTACAAGTACTTCACCTCCACGACACTTTGGATTGAGTTTTGGAAGTGGATACCGCTATATAGCCTTCTTTTTCAATAACAGCCGTGCAGCGTCCATTCGTTCACTTACCCGGCGACATTAAATTTGACCTCATGTCACCCGTAAAGCATCCTTTCAGATGGAGTCCCAGTACCCCCTCAACTTCTGGTGGTATGGGAAGAAGTATCCTGTCTCCCCATCAGGTCACTACCAGGCGGATAACGCCTCGCAAAGGCCTCTTCTGTCCTACCGCCAGCCCACTCCGAGCCTTGAGTCCCAGTGCCCCCTCAACTTCTGGTGCCAAGGGGAGAGGTATTCTGTCTCCTTGTCAGGTCACTACCAGGCGGACCACGCCTCGCAAAGGCTTGTTTCGTCCTACCGAAACCCCAACCCCACCCCCACCGCGAGCCCAGGACAATGCAGAGAGGCAGAATGAAGAGGCAACGGATTTGCCCAAAATGCGTCTCCGACCACGCCGCTCTCTCTTCCGGTGAGGGAGAGACAGGTTGCAAAAGCTAACCAGCCAGTCAATCAGCTAATTACGCATCTTTGTACAAAATAGGTGTTGAATGTTAATGAGGGGGGTAACGCAAGTTTCTGCTATCTCTATCAGGATTTATTAGCATAGGGGAGAGACGGGAGCGATAACAATAAGAATTAAACGAGGCAAGGCGCTAATCTACCAATAAGACTACCATCTCTATACAGAGGAAATAGGGGGGGGGAGGGATGGCGGTGAACGTATTTGTACAGTAGTAGAAGGAGGGGGGGGCTTGGCAGGAGGATGAACCAACAGCCCTACAGGTGTGGCTTGGCCATCCTAAAGGCCACGAATCCAAAGCCAGCCAGGATGGTCGCCGCCAGGGTCAATTTCCAAGCGTAGTCCGGTTGGGCCAGCTCCAGATGTCTGGCATGTCTGTCGTGGAAAGGAGAGGGGAGGGTAACTAGTCGACTAGTCCATTGGAAGACGGTCGAGCACTTGTTTGAGTGGATGGGAAGACATTAATTGACTGACAGGAGGGTACTTTTTGATGAAAAAGTGTGCCGCGTGGTGAGCTCATATTGAGGTAGTTTATGGGTTGACGTTACGACCAATGATACGTATGCAGCCAAGTATTCAGTCGGAAATCAAGCGATTTTATTAGTTTGGCAGCGAATTTCGAGTTTCGCTAAAAATGCATGCAAAAACGGTCGGGGATGCACCATTACAGGTCCAAGAGTGGGCAGAATCACGATAGGTAAGGAGGCTATACTAGCCACGAAGAGGTTAGTACCGAAGGGTTAAACTACGGCTGTGTGCAGTGCTATTTCCATCGCATATCCCAGTAAGGTTATCAAATTATAACCTCAAAAATCTTTAGTCGCCAAACTGCAAGGAAATCAAACAGGAAATTATGGCAAGCTCAGAATTTGTGGCTCGCCCATCACTGGCGTAGTTCCACCTTATTCAACAAGCCGTACCATCAAAAGCCGCGAAGCTAAATGCAAGCCATGGTGTCCAGTCGATTGCAGTCGGAGGACGATACCAAGAGACCAGAAGATGGGAAATCTCAATCTTGGTAGCCATGAGTAACGCTATAAGAAAATCCAAGAAATGGAAACAAGGTGGGGTCTAGTTCGGGGAGGAGACGTTCCCGCAACGTCCAACCGATCGCGGACACCACACCAGGTAAGGTAGAGGGCAAGGAGGAAGATAGGCCTGCACTTACGGGTAATTGGCCATGGTGGTGAGTTTCACGTATACGGGGTGAAACTCCTCCTCGGGCTGTTTGACCTCGCGTGCAGGGGCGGCAGTGCCGGTGTATGGGCTCAAGAGCGTGGGGGTGGAGGAGCGACCACGTAGGCCCGAGAGGGGACGTTGCTGGGCCGGCTGTGGCGACAGTTGGGCTGGCGTTGACGTAGCCGGGGGTGAAAGACTGTTTCGTTTACTCCTACAAAGCGGAAACAGGCATGTAGGCACACGAGTTTACCTCAGTTCAGGTAGGTTAGGGTGGACTTATTGGCCAATAAAAGTGAGGTATTGGCTGACGCCACTATTGTGCTTTGCAATCTTTCCCTTTTACTCCGAACCTCCGTGTCATCAAATGTCGGTTAAACCCAGTGGATTTGATTGAGGCTTCTCTGCTTTACGAAGCGAGCATAGCTCGACTCCGAACGTTCTTTCGCACATCATTTTGCGAAGGTGCAGTAGTAGAATACGACAGCTGAACATACTACATGGACGTAGCTAAAACTATTTGATTCTTGTGATAGACGACTCCAAAGTGTGTCCATCGCGTTTAGGGAGAACCTCTATTCCTCATTTAAATCGAGAATCGTATCCCAGTATTGATACGCCAAAATAAATCAGGATTCAAGAGCCAATAACCTCACTGAAATGTGAATGATGAAACGACTCATTTACAGTTCCATCAACTGGGAAGGTCGTGGTGGCTACTGGCAATAAGTTTCAGAGATTATCTTCCTTCCTTTCATGCAATAAAAACGCAGCGATTTTTGGGTTGTTTGCTGACGCTAAACCACCTCTCACCATTACATCAAAAGCCTTTTAGTTGTAAGCCCTCTTCGAGAAAACGTGAAGATAGAAGAGCAGACACTCTACAGCTACATGGCCTAAAAACAATCAAAATCGCCATTTGAAGAGAACACCGCAATCGGTTGATTTCTAGAGTCAATCCAAAAATACAGATGATTACTTAAAAATACTTACCCACAAATAGTAAAGAGGTGACATCAAGCAGATTTGAAGCCAGAAGCTCGTTAATGTTAAGCTCGAGTCAGAGGTGAATGGAAATCGCTTCACCGTGAGGTCGGAGATCAGTAGGGCTCATGTAAACGCGAACTACTTTCACGGTAGACTAGATTCAATGCACTTGTGTCAGGTAGAGATAACAACCTTTTCTCCCAGAATTAATGTTAAACTATTAAAATCCAACAAACGCAATGTTAATTACGACTTCTTCGTGTTTTGAGGGAGACTTATTAGTGCCGCCTGATTTGCACTCCTGGATCTTCTGTATTTACTGTTAGTGGTGGTTGAAACGGGTAACAGCTATCTGATGCCCTCCTGGAGTTCCTTTGATAAACAACAATCCAAACCACCTTGCTAGCCATGCATCGGATAAAACTTCCTTACTCAAGTTTCACCAGGCTCTCAATTTAATCACTTAAAGTGGAAATAACCATTAAATAAGGGATTGAGAGTCTGAACAGTACTGAAGTGGTCACATAATGCCTCAGAGGACATAAATAAGCTATGCAAGCGGTGAAAAGTAACAAGATTCTAGCAATGCATTAATCAAATGAGACAGATATACCATTTTAAACCCTATTTACGATAAAGTAATAGTAGCTGAAATGGGTAGAACCTTCCCAGTTGATAAATACAGGGGAGTGAGGGAGTGTGAATGGTCGCACGACTACCATGTTGCACATCAACGAAATTAATTCGAGTTCGGAGTTGTTTTTTTAAAAAAAACTACTCTTCGTCATAGCCAATCCACAAAAAGATCGCATATGGGAGAAAATTAGGCGATTTTGTGAAGTATGCAGACACCAAAACACACTGACTGTACCGGGGCCACACATCAGCCCAACAATTGTTAGAGCATTTGGAAATGACCATGATGAAGGACTTGACAAATGTACATGTTCTGACGCATTTAAGGGGAATGTTAAGTCGTCGAGGCACACTACTGGTTCCAACCTGTTCCCCCCCACCTTGTGTTCTTTTCGCATAAGCAGTGTAAAAGTGCCCCATTCCTCCAGATGTTTTGTTTTTGTCGCGGCTATCTTAACAATGCGAATCAGTAGGATTCAAAACGCAAGTTGCAAAAGCGACGGAGGCAATAATTTCACAGCGTGAAGCTGTGGAAGTGCATCAAATGGGAGAAAAAGTCACTTAAAACGACCAAACTGCATGTCTGTCTTCAAGCACATACAAAATATTCTTTAATTCGTGCATGACCTCAAAAAAAAACAATTGCTAGGGGCACAGTTCATGCGACTGCGGCTCACATAACTTGGAGAACCAAGTCGTGTTCATATGCAGTACTTGGCTGAGAAATAGTTGCAAAACTTCAGTAGAAATCTTCGCGGACCCATTTGGTACATGACGTTTTTCCAAACTAATGTCTCAATCTTTCAATCCTTCAACAGAAAGGAATACCTGGACAGGTTCATGCAATACTTGCCTTCTTGATACCAAAGATATCGATATATTTTTAACATAGTCAAGGCACATTATTCTAGCCTCGTATAAAAATATCAAGGACCGAGACAATTTTGGGTGTCATTATCAAAAGCTAGAGCTGCTGTTGTGGACCTTCTTTAAGACATTGAGACCTCGACAGCACAGCATTCTGGCGTTACTGAGTGTAGTACAGCCTTGAGTATTTAAAAATAGGTATAGCAGAGACGAGACAGGACCAGGAAGACGTGCAACGTTTAATCAGTTTTGAATTGAAACTTATAAAGTACAAAATACCGGGGAGACTATAATGAAATTTGGAAAATGGCCAAAAGATATAAAGTTAATGATCAAATAAGTTGAAAGTGTTTCTGACATTTGGGAAATTGAACTCAAGACGGCCTCAAACAAAGCCAGCTACACTATTCTCAATTATTTTTTTCGCTAAAAAAGGCGGAAACTCTGTTCTCTTGGCCTTGTAATGCCCCTTCTCCCCACATTTCCGCAAAAATGGCTTCAGTTGGCCCCAGTTGAGAGTAAAAACACTGACTGAATGTCCAGGAGAAACCTGATCGTGTTTCATCTGGGCTGTGCAATTGTTTGCTCTAAAGCTGATTTAAAATTCTTAGTCATTGGCGTAAATTACCTCCAGTTGCTGTTATTGCAAACTGGCCTAACTAGAACAGTCGAGGAAATCAAAAAACACAGTAAAAAGCCCTTCCACACACGGCCACCAATTCGACCCACAACAGTCAGCCATGTGATCCCAGAATCCAATCCAGAAAATGGCATAATGATCCATCACCGCAATGACATTTATCACTTTTCGAATGTCAAATTTACGTTTTTTTGACCAAAACAACTTGGAATTCTTAGAAGTGAGAACATCATCGCTGCCGGCAACCGCTTAGACTTGATATCTTACAATTACCACATTACACACCTCTGTGGACCGGCCTCGGGAGATTGGCAATCGTCGGGGAGCCAGAAAGCGGAGCCCGAGGCAGCAACAAGAGGGCGCGCCTTTACGGTGTCCGCAGAGCTGCGCCGATAACGTGGGCCATCACCAAAGGCGGCAGTAGTAGCAGAACCACCATTTGAGGTCTCCACGAAACGGGGGCGGACGTCAAAGGAGGAGAAGGGAAGGGGGTTGGCCAAATTATACTTGGTGCAGAACTCCTGTGGGTCAAGACAGTAATTCTGCAGCACACCTATCTGGTCCGCCTTGCCAGCAACGAAGAGACAGGGGACGCGAGTACCACGGTAAAAGTTCTACAAGCCAATGAATCAGACTTGAGATTTCCATCCTTCCCCATTTGTTATGCTGGTTTAAGGGGACCTGCAGTGAACAGTTTGGCAAATCGTACTCGGGGGGAGCGAAAGTACTCTCTCACTGGGTTCCCAGTTTAAAAATGCTTGAACGGGTGTTTACGAGTGTAAAAACAGAATCTAGTCAAAAAATAAAGGGGTGATGAAGACGGCAGGGACAGGAAACTGCAAAAACAATTAAAAATCAACTAATTCAGCTCAAAAGCAGTTTTTATGTGTCATGGTAGGAAATACATCTGGGACAGACACTGACAGCCTCGCACGCTTCCAATCTTATAAACAATGCTCTGATACTAAGAAACATTCTTCCATCATAATGAATAGTTCTAGTCGAAAAAAAACGCCGGTGACTTTTCAACTTCGAATCGCGTTTGCAAGACCTTAAGATGTATTCGTTTCTATTACAGTCGCCACCTGTGGATAATCTTTATTCCTTATCTTGGTCTCAAGGCCCTCGCGTGGATGATTTTTGCTAGAGATTGAAATCGCCCGTTAGAAATAAGCTTCTCGCAGAACGAAATGCTGATATTTTAAAGTGTTTTGATTGTCTTCATTCCATGACGAGAGTGTAACTCAGGTTGGAAAATTGAACAATATTTGCGTACTGTCTTATCCACCATTTTTCAAACAAACTGTTCAACAAAGAGCAACAGGAATTTGGTCCCATCCCAAGAGTGGTGATGGCAAACCTTCATGAGCCAAAAAAGTTCACTAGTAAGCCGCATCTAAAGTTTTAACTGTAAGTAGATTTTGTGGAAGACCTCAATAAAATCGTGGAATGAAGACGAAGAAATCATGGAGAGTTCGTATTAGACTTAGATAATTGTGACTATCTACTCCAGCCAGTAAAGTAGTGTACGATGTTAAACAGGGTGGACAGATTTTTGCATTCTCTATTTATTAAGCTAATATGGACACACACTTTTTCATAAGATTTTATACGCTTTATTAGTCTTGAGTGCACCATTGGCTTGCACTTGGTTGCATAATTTACTCGATAATTTGTTGATTGAACATGTAAGGGGTAGCAATGACGGACGGCTAATCAATGTCCAAGACACCACTTAACGTCAACGGGATGCACCCCAACTTCATTCAACAAATATGATGAAAAGAATTAGAATTAAATGCTTTCCGGACAATGGAAAGCTTCTCCCTACTTAGTACAAGACCTATCTACTATGCATGGTAATAACAAAAAGGAAGTGTGAGAAATGAAAAGAGGCGCTTTAGAAGTGGTCCACAACCTGGATGAATGATTCACAATTCAAATAGGCGAATAGTCGGCAAAACACAATCCCGAATACAACCAGACAGGTGTGGTTAAAAACATGGGAAAAGTACTGGCCAGTTGGAAAGTGGACGGGTACGTTAAAACAAAGTGTAACGCTTAGTCATAGCCCCGCTTGGCCCTCACATGTCCACCACCGACAAGTCATGTGCCAACAACATGAAGGCACATTACGTGGTAATCAATTCACTCCTGAGGGTACTATAAACCATGAATCTGCGGACAGAGTGGTCACGAAAAAAAGGAAGGCTTGGGAGACAAATATTACGACCTCGTGCCATCAACGTGCTGGTAGAATAACGGCCGAGTGAAATGCTCATGCAAGTGTGGAAAGAGGGTTTGCGTTCTGCTACGCTACCATAGACATCCAGGGTCCAAAATTCCTCATGAAATAAAGACACTCCATCCTGAGTTGTTGAATTGCACTGTAGGGCTCAAATTAAAGATATGAAAGGAGGCGGATTAAGGTAAAGATACCGGTTAAAGGAAAAAAGTGTCTACCCAATCGCCTGTAAAAATCGCATGCGCCTACCCTTCCTGCCAAAAAACGAAAAAGGATTCAGGTCAAAGAGACAGGGTGTCACTTTATAATTGCCGAAAGCTACCCCAACACAAAGAGGACGCATATTTAGGGGCTAAAGGTGTGCCAAGTGGCAAAAGAGATGCCACCTTGGCAGATTCAGTCGCCTCGCGCGAAAAGAGCTTTGGCTATTCGGCCTCTAGGATCCAACATATTTTATCTTACATAAAAGAAAATAAAAATAAAAAGAGGCAATAAACCTGAAGCGTAGGATTCCAGGAATGAGCAAGTGAATGAAAGCACGAGTTAATGAGCAGTCGAGTGAATAAGTGATTGCTTGGATAATGAAAATACCGTAGACTATTTCGCCTTTAGAAAAAAAAGTGCTGATCAAAAAAGGGGGAAATCTGCTTTAAAAGGATGGAAAATGTATTGTAGGATATAACGGATGAACGTATGAATGAATGGAAGCAGTGGATGAATAAACAGGTAGATGAGTGAATTAACTGAATGGTTGAACAGGGAGGTGGTTGACCTAACATAGAAAGCAGAAAGATCGCAGAATATTAAAACTGAGTGAGCAACAGGTCACCTAGAGGAAGGATTTTGTGCATTTAGTGCGTGAATAAGTGAACCAAATTGCCAGTGAGTTGGTGAATACGTGAGTTATCAAACATTAAACTGATTTGATTCAGAGGGTGCAAAAAAGTTGGTGAAACAGGAGTCCATAGACAAGCGTGTGAGTAACTGATAAATCAGACAAATAGACGAGCAATTCACCAACCAAATTGTAAGAGCAGAAATGGCCACAGAAAATCATGCGTATGGAAGTGTGATAGACAGTACATACCAAAAAGATATTGGCCACATAGCGGAAGGAGTCTGCGTCGGTGACATCATAGAGGAGGCAGGCCACATCTGCGGAGAGAGCTTCGCCCGCTGTCATCTGCTCTGCGTGGCCTGCACTCACCTCGTGCAGTAGCAGTGTCCGCAACTTTCCACACACTGGCAGTCCCGTCGCCGCCGTCCATGGGGCTGTCCGCCCGCTTACTCCACCCACTGCATTTCCTCCACGGCCTCGCAGTCCACGACCCAGCAGACCTTGCAGCAGGCATGTCTATCGAATAATGGCAAAAAAGAGTAAGTTAATGCGAGCTAGTTACCACGTAGTCAAATTAGTAAACTCGAGATTATAACCTCAGTTTCCTTAAGTGGTGCCGAGTTCGAGAGTCCACGACACCCCTAACATTTTACCCTGGATGCTCTTGGGTGTTTGATTATCATGACGATTCGTCATTGCCTCACACCGAACTCCCCGATAGGAAAGCTATGTTGGCAGTACAACAAACCAGGCCTGTGGCAAGATAGGGAGAAATTTATACTTAAATTTAAAAAATTAATCAAAACGAACTATTCAAAACCAGGCATATAAATTACGCCATAAAAAATGAGGTCTAGAAGCTACCAACCAAGGTAGGTACGCCCGCAGCAAAAAATCCTCGTGAAATTAAACCCTCTCCGAAATAACGCTGCCAAACTACACGTAACCAAAAAAGTTATCCCAATGGAAAGGGCGAATTTGTCAAGATGTGTAGAGCAAATTCTGTACGGCTTGGGAACCTAATGCCAAATTCAACCTTAAAAACCTTAAAAATATCCCTTGCAATTCCTGCCAACGCTTACAGCTTTATTTCCGAGATAGAACCGGTGGGATAGCAGGCACTACCATCATTAAACACTTCATTAGCATTACAATATTAAATTTTCCCAGCTAAAGGTAAAGGGCGATCCCAATAAGTCTCCAGGGCCAACAAGTTGCACAAAGCTATAAGGGAACATTGTATTGCTCCTTGCTTCAGTAAACCTCGCTCCCAGTTCGGCGTTGCAACTGTGAGAGTTGAGGTGTTTCAAAATTCCTTACACAGATAAATCTTCTTGGTAAAGCTTAACTCACATAAAAAGGAATGCGGGAACAAGAGGAAATCCCGTTTAAGCAATATTACAGCAGTAATTTGGTTCACAAAAATCACACAAATTCCTCAAGAGCTCCATATTTTGAAGAAAAAAGAGCGATTCCGGGGGGCCTTATTAGATTGATATCTCTACCCTTCCCTGCGAGATTTCAAAGTGCGTTGGTGGCCACAGCAAAGAGTGGAAAAAACGAATGAGACAAACCTTTCCGACTTTTCTGCCTCCATAAACTCGACAGTAAAAGACTGTGCGATTGGTATGGCCCCGAATATAGTCCATGCGTCTTTCCGAGGTTATCATCACCCCGCGCAAGAGGCTATCCGCTGAGCTACCCAGACAACTGCAGAGATTAGGCTGGGGCACGTCTTCATTGGTGACAGAGGAGTCAAAGCCGGGGCTCGGAGTCGTTGACCCTAGAGGCAGGTAATCCCCATCGGGTGGGAGACACGCCCCTGTCTGGTAGGTGAAACCTAAGTAGGCCAAGTATTCCAGAGCTTGGCTGGGTTCTAGCAGAGTCGTCAGTCTATTTTGGGGCAGAAAGGAAAACAAATTACTATGGGGATGGAAGAGCATTTAATTTCAAAATGAGCGGAGATTATAAAAATCAGAAAAGTCTCAAGAGATTTACTACGAGTCTTCCATCTGAAGTGAACGAAATCTATTCACAAGGACGAAGATTCTGTGTAAATTGGAGGGTAAGTATACGGAAGACGATGAGAGATGTTGAGGAGTTCAACAACGTTTCATGCACTTATCTTTCATTAGAGATTGAACCAAACAAAAGCCCTGAAGAACTTTGCGACTCTCATTCGTGGGTTTATGCATCAACACATCAGCAAAATCGGGTGACACGTAAAACTCGACATTAAATGTGAACCAAGGTGAGGGTCATAATTCTTGAACAAAGGATGAAATTCGTGCAAGTTTCATTCTCGTTCCAAAGTCACCAAAGCCTGTTCATACCAGTTTGCCGTCCACAAGGGACGGTGATATAGTGACAACACAGGAAGCAATAAAAATGAATAGGATACACTAAAAAACTCCAAAAGAGTTCAAGGAAATCAAAAACTCAAACTAATTTCTGCAAGTCATTTCCAAAGCCGCAAACTTCTATTCCAAAAATAATTGGTTTTTCAAATTAACACTACAAACATTTATTGCCCAAGGACTAAACGACGAAACACTGAATCAACATGGGGACCAAAGTACCATATCGAAAGCTAGGGCAAGGTGTATCTTTTTCCAATCCTTTTTGATTGATCCAGCTATCAACATGCAACGCAACTGGGAACTCTGTAATTCGAATAAAGTGAATGCCACAACGCCAGTGCACTATTAGCCTTCTTTTACTCCGAAAGGCCAGTCCTTTTAGCATAGGGGAGATGTAGCCGACTGATTAATATTAGTCATCCAAGCCCCTATTTGCGGGGCGGTAATGGGGGGAGGCCAGGCGCTCACATCAAATCAAAGATGAGAGTTTGTGTTCACCACCCCTCTCAATATGACGCCACTCCTCTCGCTTCTCCCCTCTCTCAACGATGAGGTCGATCAACTACCATCTGGCGGTGACGGCAAAAGTGGTGGGACCGAATGCCCCTCAATTTATGTGAGAGAACGGGGACTTACGCCCAGTGGGCCATGAAGCCACGGCGCGTAATCCAGCCCTTAGAGTTGGTCTCTACGCAGAGGCCGAAGTCCTCCAAGCCGACGCCAGCACTACCGCTGCCGGACAGTCGGACGCCCTCCTCCTGGGGACACGTGGCCAGCAGCTCGGCCACTTCCGTTGGGCTTAGACACTCGTCACCGTCCTGTGGGAGGTGCAAAACGAAGATTTAATTTATTGAGGGGAGTGCGACAGCCCACGGCCAGTGTTTCAATAAAATGCAGGGTAAAGGTGATATTCCACAGCCCATGGCGTTATAAGGAATGCCCATTTGGAAGCAGATATACCATCAACATCTGAGCCAACTTCTTGAAACACACCGCTCTGTTTTGGTCTCTCGGGGTGGCGGTTTCACGGAAAAACAAGGGAATTTAGACTATTTCTACCGGATTTTAAAGCATACCTAGGTGAAATCTTTTCACGAAATAATTCATGGCTACTTTTTATGCAAGTCGTAAAAACCTCGATGCAGAAGGGTTAAGCAGGAAATTTCTTCAAACATTACAGTATTGTTGGTCACAGGGTGAGGGAAGAAGCAAGGTGGGTAGGAACTCTAGCATTTGAGGAAAACACGGAGTTTGAACAGTTTTATTTAAAGCGACGCGTTAAACGAAACCCAGTTCCCATTTTCAACTTATTCTGAAATTATGCTTTGATGATATTGGCAGAGAGACTTTTCCTTTATAGCATTAGTCGACTCAAAGCGGAGGAAACAATACCATATTAGATGGATAGGAAACCTACGAAAGCTCATTTGCAGATGGGTGACTGTTTTGCAAGGAGGGCTTAAGCAGGTGGTGGAGGGGGGGTGAGGTGAAAAATGCTTTTCTCTTCATTAAAAGCATCATGCAACGGAGGCTTGGCACAAAATCGAGGACCACGCATTGAGTGGATGTTTGCCTTAACTAGTCAAAGCAGTCATGTCTCTAGCCTTCGACTTCCTTTGAATCGCTACAGCAAAGCCATTCATAGACTTCTACCATACCATGCCACAAGCGCTACCATTCATCTTCTTTGAATTTTGAAAAGCCTACTGACATTAAAACGCCTCCAGCCTTCACCTTTACTTGAAAAATACATGAAGAATCTTTTCCTAAAGAGTCAGTAAGAGATCGGGAAACCGAGAGATACTAGATACGCATGAAGATATTTATTTGACCACTTTTTTAGGGCATAAAACATCCAATGAGTGAAGGCAATGGCCTACCGCCTGCCTCTGGGACGTTCGTGGGCTGTAAAGAGTCAGAAGTGCCTAGCACATAAAAACAAAACAACTCAAAGTGGGGCTGTGAAATAGACTTGACAAAGCACAAAGTCATTGTCTTCATTTACGATCTCCGTGATACAGTGTGTGTGCATACTCATTGTTCTCTGGCTACTGAGGAGTAGGTGACATGTATTCCCATTTGCAGTGTATACATCTGGTCTGAACTCCTTACCATTGTGCACCACCAACTGCTATACGACGGAATACATCAACTATGACAAGCATCGAGAATAGGGAATTTTAAAAGTATTCAAGAAATAGAATAACCACATTACTCCCATCAAGGATGCTGCTGTTCATTAAAAATGCACTTCAATCGCCTCCGCGTCAAACATGTCCGCCGCTTCCTTGTCAATTTTGTCCTCGTTTCATGGTCTCTTCTTTGGTGAAGGATTTCCTTAACCAATTACACTATGCCTGGACCACATTAAGTGGTGTATGAAAACTTTTGCATACAGAATTGTTCTCATCTTAAGGTATGAATTTCGTAAACATAGTTGAGGAGTTAAAAACAATTCGATTTCTAAATGTTACAAGGGATGATGTGGTAAAGGGAGCACATTTGGTCAGTAAATGACGGAAAGTTCTTAAAAGCATTGTCGTGAAACAGTCGATTTTTTATCACTTTTCAGCACAGGAGCAAGAATACCAATAAATAGCCACTATCTTGAAATTCTTAGGTAACACGGTTTAGGCAACAAGCAAACATTAAATTTTAGATGTTTGATTACTTGTAAACTGCACATTTATCAATCTCCACCACTATCAACAAATCAACTAATGCGCACAAAACGCAGAATATTAGCAGGTTTTAAAGGAGGTAGAAGTCATGCTCAGAAAACATTGATGCCAAAGCCATTCTAGACTGGAATTGACCTTAAGAGAACATGAAAACATTGAAATTAGAATGACGGAGGGATAATCAGATTTAATCAGCCCCAAAATGACGTTCTTTCGAAGACAATTTCAGGATCGAGCATGTGTCTAGTCTAGGTGAAGTAAAGGCGTCCACTTTCGTGCACTATCACATTAAATTAGCTTGCAGAACCCTAAATTCAAAGTTTACCAAAATGAATGGACACTAACTGATAATCTTCGATGATATTAGTTTCTCATAATTAGAAACATTGGATGAAAGCTTGTTGCGGTTGGAGAAAACAGCTAACATCATAAAATGAGTGGCAAATAATAAGGAGCTAACGAAATGTTGCAGACGAATTTCAACTATAATTCGATGAAAAAGGATAATGACAACGGTGTCACCATTAATCGAACCAGTCGTTAAAATTGTCATCAAGTGAGTGCACCAAACACTATTTAAATTTGAATCACACTCACGAGATCATATTTGGTAAAAATAGTGTGGAGAAAGTGGATGCCAGCTGGAGATAGTTCGGTAGAACAGTCTGATGGAACTACTAGTTTGGGATAGAGGAAGTCGTGTGAGAGGCGCAGATGATTATCATAACCAAACTGACGCAGCACCGCCCACGTCGTCTCATGGCGCCCTTTGCGAATGAAGATCATGTGCAGGAAGAGGAAACCTAATGATGCAAAGGGGAAGGCAAGAGGTAGCCATAACAACTACTTACGAGGAAATTAGTAACAATTCATACCCAACCATAAGGCAATTACACTACTGTCCAAATAGCGAAATACGAACAAAAAGAACACTTTTGCAGGAGACGACATCGTAATTTCGCAGTGACTCTCTCCAGTCACAATTGCGATCCTATAGGTGCGCCTCTAAGAGGTCAAATTTAACCTACACTGATTACCTTTAGAATGCGGTCTAAAGCAAGCCACCAGGACGTTGCTCGATTCATCGCAACTTGAACGCGCTGAAGAATATGCGTTACTAAAGCCTTTTGGCTGAAATATTACCTACAGCATAAATCTTATTTCATGGAACAATTCTTCTCAACTAATGATTAAACATGTGTTCCAAAATATCAGATCAACGTAAAGGTGTGATCAACCAAGGGTAGCGACAACATCATTTAGATAGAAGTGAGGGCATTCATTGTGTCAAAATCATGAGCACAGTACAGTATATTTAAATTAGATATAAGTTTGACGAATCCACACGAAATATAGGGGAATCAAATAAGCTAATTGAATTTTTAAGGGCAAAAATTGGACGGTTTCGGAAAGCGTATTAAAGCATTTTACTAGTTGAAACACTCCTGCATCCCTTCTTAACGAGTCACAAGGCTGTTGCTGTTTCGGCTTACACACAATCCTTTGTCAAGAAAAGGTGAAAATAATCTTTTGGAGAGACGTAGATGAGGGGAACGTGGAGAATAAGGCTGAAACAGCGTCCTCCACCCCGTTTAAAGTTCAGATAACCTCATAGGTGAGATCCACAGCAGCAGTAATCGTGGATTCTAATAATAGAATCTTCTTTCGGCTGTTTTTCAAAATGACAGTCTTCTTGCCCGCGCTAGTTCCATCATATCGAATAGGTAGATCTCATGCGTAATTCCATGACCTTTAGCATGTGAATAATTCCGGACTCAGCCTCCACACATACAAAACAAGTAGTCTTTTGGTTGCAAGCGGATGGGTCGTGAGTGAATCGCTTGAAGGAAACCATGACATGTCCTTTCATTCAACATTGAAGTACACAAGTTATCTCTTATCACAAGTCAGTCAGGAAACAATAAATTAGGGAATCACCTTTTCACCGTAAAAGAAGTGAAGGAAAAGTTGATAGTCCGAAAACTATTTGTCCGGTAGTGGCCACGACCTTCCCAGATAATGTAGACTTGACCAAAATTTTCATCGCCTTCAGAGGAGGTACTGAACCGTTAACTTCGAAGGGGAGATAGGTGCTAATTCAACAAAGCATTTATCATTGCTTGGAAGAACGAAAACGACAATAACGTATGAAGCTGAGTCAAGACCAAATCTTACACTGGGGCGTGGCTCATTTAAACTCCCGTGCTCCGATTGCTCTTTTTCAACAATTATGACTGTGAAGATTTCTTAAGTATCTTCAAAACGTTATTCACGAACAAGCAAAAATGGCACAATCAAATAAAAAAGTTTAAATTCCTCTTTTAGTGTATAACACTGGAAATTAAGGGGAATCAGGGAGAGTAGTACAATGCATACAAAATTAACATTTACTTGTAAAAATAAACAAGGAATGGTAAATAAAGACAGTTGAGAGTTGTCAATGAGAGCGCGTGATTTAACACATCACTGAAATCGGTCAAGAAATACTACTGAATACATACAAATGTTGGTTTAGGGAGTACCAGCTAACCTGACCTAGGTGGTAACCCTAGATAAAGTGAGGTGAAAATCTATAAGGCCGAGTTCAAGGTCTTTTCCGGTCAGACATTCACTCAAAAACTGAAACAAACAGGGACAAAAAGGAGCAGCCACTATTTAAAAGTGCTATTAATATTAGGAGTGGATTCCACAATGGGGAACTTTTTCATCGCCTGCAATTCTGCTTTCCGTCCTCTTTTGTAGGCTTGTGACGAATCTGCTTCCAATTTGTGCGCCGTATTATATTTTTAGTGGCACTGAGGACAGCTGAATCCGCGAAGCCTCACAACAGAATGGCTGTTTAGGTCGAGATTAAATCTCACCACTAACCCCAGTTTCTAGTTCAAGTTAACGTCTGGTAATGTAACAAGAGCAGACTTGTGTGCAATAAAATCAACCTTGAGGAAATGCCAACGGCATTGGCATGAACGCAATGACTTATGACTATGATCCGGGGACAAGATATCCTTGCCCTGCAATCCTCAGGGGCCACATTCTCAGCACCGTTAGCAAAACCACACCAAACAACAATCCCAATTTTGACAAGTGTGTATTATACCAAAACGTCATAACCTGCAGTCAAGCCTGTGTGGATTCACAACAGAAGGGCCACCGAAATTTTGCCGGCTTTTGGAAATTACCCAAACACAATTTCTGCAATAATGGCAGTTTTTCCATGGATGATTGATAGTCATCCATGAAAAACTACTCAGAATATTACTATAAACACAGTAGCTTGTGAACATTACCTACACTGATTTTATACTTAGATACGAAAATCGGTCGACATGTGATATCTTCTGGCTGCAGAACGTCAGTCAATCGCAAGCAGCACTTTTAAAGTGAATACCTTTCTAGTACAGTCCACCTAATAACAACTGTAGCATTTAGGAACTTGAGAAAGATAAATTTAGAGACGCATCATCACTAAGGAAGTTAGCAACGTTCTAGTTTGGTGGTGTACAGTAATTATGAAGTCTGTCGTGCCTCCAAATTGGTTTCAATTTCACATAAAACACAACGGACGACGGTCAAAACAAGGCAAGAAAAGTATGCAATGAAACCGCATTTGCGACTCTTTTTATGTGGCAATGAGAGCATTTTCAGCCTCATGTGATTTGTTTTCTAGACCTAGCCATATGCATTTTTGGTACATTTAAAAGCTGGATGCATAGAAGTAGTTGTCGTATGCAAATTGAGCAATAGACGATCTTGAGTTAACTGCTTTACCTCCACAATTGGCCACTTGTAAACGAAAAACATAATTAAAAATTAGGACTGTTGCATATAAGTGGTTAGTGCGAATACGAAACTATGAGTAATCCAAAGTACTACCTCAGATCCAAGATAGTGACGGGACAAGGACAACGGCTAAACATTGATGGGCCAGAACACGAGGTATTAAGACGAATATAAGTAGTTGTGTTACGCACATATGCATACACTCACCCCTGAGCGTGACACCACTGACAGTGACACCACCGGGGGTAGAGTTACGGATGAGTTGCTTAACATCGAGGAGGGACTGAGCAGTGAGAGGGATGGCAAAGCAGCGCTCCTGAAAGGCTTCCAGTTCCTTGTCCGAAAGGTAGCCATCGTTGTCCACGTCGCAGATGCGAAATATCCGGGTCAGGGCGCACACACATTCCGGAGTTAGCTTCAGCACAACGGAAAGAGGCCTTTATCCTCCACGTCACATGCTGCTCTGATCATATGATACATTCATCTTTCAGTGTCACCTATGTTCCCCACCTATGCATTCGGGAGCAACTCGGGCGCTAGAATCATGCACTGCTTTTCAGCTTTTATACCGCAGCCACAGTACAAGCAACAATAGAAATCAGTAGCAAAATTAACGACCCAAATCACTGATTGAAGACGAGATGTGTGCATTTATACGCAGTGACCGCAAGAAACCTCTATCTTCCACGCCAGTTCTACCTTGTATAATCCTACTCTAGTTCTGCATATATTTGTCATTCCAGTTGAGTTCACCACGTTACATTTGGGAATCTATTAAAGGACTGGGAAAACCCCTAATTTCACTGTTCAAGGCTGCAGTCTCTGACTCTTCAGTGTCGTTTTAACAAATTCATCTATGAGCATCCACACCCTATGCACTTAGTTCAGAAGTACTAAATTGACGGAAGTGCAGCAGAATACGTAAGATACGATTTAAACTTTGACGAAGGAAGCAAAAACGCTACAGAAAAGTTCATCTCCTCCCACTTCAATCGAAATGAGCCTAGTGAAAGTGGAATCAAAACAAGTCACCTTATGGGATTTAAAGCAGAGAGCTCAATTAAAAATTCCTGCATTAATAAATGTTAAGGTAACAGGCAAATAGACCAGGCCAATTGATCCGAAGTTAAAAAACCTATCTACTTACAGTCGTTCTGTTCTTTGTCCAAACTCAAACTTTACACAAACTATTTACTTTTCAGGCAAAAAATCATGCGCACATGGTACAACTGATAGGTTAGGAAGGTTGCAAAATGAGTGTGAATCGTTTATTTTCCAATAGTGGGATTTTATAACTAGCAATAAGTTAAGTTAGCCACTATAAGACCCAAAAATGTCACCCATTTGAGGATAGCCTTCAATCCTCCCAGATTGTTTCCTGCAACGTCAGCTTGCAACAGCAAGCAACCTCCCTATTACATTGATAGGTACACGAAAACAAATTGGCATTTCTAGTGAGAGATATTAGTGCCAGTTCTAACGTCACAATTAGCACATTTCCTCTTCTCCATAGTGTCTATGGAGTCGTTAAAGCAACATACTTTGGCGGTGGTCTTTTGACAACTGGCGTGTCTCCTTATTCCTTGATGCGTTGGTGAACTATGAAGTGTAGCCTATGACCAATATCATCGAATCTCAAATAACCAAAGAGACGTCTGCTGCAGGAGATGATGAAACTCAGTGAAAACATGGGCTGCTGACACAGTTACCATACTTTGATTTACTATAAGTGAGACTCTTGACTTAAAAAATTGAGCACCTCTTTCTTCTATCTCACAGTCCCCGATTGAGTGGTAGCTTTTTCCGAAGCAAAAACTGCAAAAAGGTAAATGAAGAATTGGAATGGTCGCAGAGTGCTTGTTATCTACAACCAAGATGATATTAATGTTAGTACCCAGTTTTGTGTGGTGAGGGGCAGGAGCAGAGAGTAATGCCCTCCATCAATCACCGTCGGGTAAGAATGTCATATTCACACGCACAAGTAACTCCTAGCACTCACCTTTCCAAAGCCATGAACCAGCTGAGATGAACCTAAAGTCCCCAATTTGTTTTGCTTATTCAATCTTTCCACTTCATAAGTTGAGAAAATGACCAAATCCACTACTATGTGACTGAAATATAAGTAGAGTATCGAATTTTCAGCTTCATTTCATAGCACAATAGCTCCGAAAGCAACGAAAAAGGTGCAACGGTTGTTATCACTTCACTATGGACAAAATATAGTCATACTTTCATCTGGAGATAAAAGGAAATCATGCTATTCACCGGGGGTTTAACCAAGAGAAGAGGTTAAAATGAGCCAACACCAGATGTAGTTAGAGAAAAATAGTTACTGGGCTCGGAAAATCTCTTACAGAAGTAATTTTCCTACAAGCATAACTCTAAATTCATAAGAAAGCCAGCAGACCTGGTGGGAGTAAAACTGAGGGGGTAACTTCGCAAAACAGCCACAAAAGTGGGAGAAGTCGTAAGCCTCAGGACAGTGCATCAAATCAGGCTAAAAGATTTGAAGGCTTAGATACACGTCCATGTATTGATAATGCGGTTTTGGTAAGGAACATTGGCTTTTCTGCAGCGAATTACGAACTGAACAGCAATAAAATACGACATGCATCCACAGCCGCATTGTGCAGCAAGAACTTCAAATAAGAATAGAAACTATCAAAAACGTAATAAGAGGAGAAATACGTTCAAACTTAAAGGAACGTACCTCCTTGCTTTCAGCATGATAGAGAGGAGCAGTAGGATAAAGAACAGCTTTTTGGGCGAACCAAAAAGCCTCGCTGAGGTTGCGGAGTGATTTCGCCGAGCACTCAATGCAAGTTTCGATTTCAGGAAAGCGTTCCATTAGTGGAAGAACTTGCTAAAAGGCGAGTTGGATAAGTGTCAATTGATAACGATGTAATTGAAAAAAAGGAACTCACCTCCATTTTACTATTCTCCACAAGATCTGATTTATTGCCGACTAGAACCACAGGAACCTTTGTCTCACTTTCAGTAAAGCAGGAACGAATCAACGGCAACCACTGAACAGTTAGCTAAAAAGGAGAATATTTACTGGTACCATAAGAAACATATGATTAGCTAAAGAGCACAAGGACTGGGAAGTGACATTCTTACATGCTGCACAAAATTATCATCGTTAAGAGCGTAGACGAGACAAATGACAGAAGCTTGTCTAATTTCAGTCACTAGTTGATCACGAGTCTGCACGCGAGATGAAAAATCGACGATCTCTGTTGGGACGCGTTCAGGAGTGACAGAAGCAGGAATCGTGATCTCCTCTGAACGGGCAGGAACCTGTAGGATAAGCCAGTTGTTGATTTATGAAATTAGCACACCAGGCTAGTATTAAAACCGGAAAGTGTGATTTGATACGTCCGGATGGAAACGGATAACATCTAGTGATGAACCACTATAATATTGGAGGTATCAACGGAAGAAGGTTGTAAACACCAACAGTTATTCTGAATTCAAAGCATAAATAAAGTCAGGAGGAAATGTGTACGATTTCACCAAAAGACTAACCTTCGGAGAAAATTCTTCACTCACAAGCGACAGTATGAGTGTCGTTTTGCCAACGAACGCTAAATCGAAACTAAACTTAGGTAGGATTACATACGTTCTCCAACAAGTAAAATGCGGACAACGCCTTGACCCCTAGACTTCATTTGAGATCCAGAGACCTCAAGCCTTCGCGGGTTTCTTTAAAATGGGGAGAGACTTCACTCGTTAATTAAAATAACAGATTTGAGATCCAGAAGCAGAAGTTAAGGTACCATATCAAAAAGCATGGGTCGAATTAAATTGATTGCTTTATATCAAAGCAAAATATGGTCTGTCCAAGAGATTTTTTAGCTTTCAAAGATAATCCCATTTTACATAAAGTTATACTCATTACTACAAATGTACCTTAATAATAAATACCGAAAAGCATTAGTAGACCAGTAATTTTAATTGTAAGATAAAAGCATGCACAGCTAACAAAGTTGTGCAATGAAAGGAACAAAAGTATCCTTTAATCTGCCAACCTAAAATAAACCCTACCCAGGTTTACCTAATATTGCTAAACAAAGAAGGATTTGACTTCACGAACACGTCTACAATATACTTCGTTCATGTATGACAAATAATAGAAGATTTTTAAGGTAATATGGAAGTGCAATTAGTAATCTATGGCCGAGTGGTACACCCAAATTTACTCCCACCTCCATGCATTCGTACCTCTCACCCTCCGACCCTCCCACCACCATCAAGAGCCATCCATACCTCTTTTTTGGCAATACTGTAATACGATAGTGGTTTATCCCTCGGCATTGGTGAGGCACCACTCTGTACTTTGAATTAGCCCCCTTGTACCTCGCTGGGTGGGCTGGTCTTTTGGGCGGTGCTAATAGCGCAGGCACCTCCGCGCTGAATATATATTCTGCCCCGAATATTTTGTCTTCTTTTGTCTTCAGGGAGTCCTGGGACGTTACAATACGATAGAATAGTGCTTGTTTTTTGGTGTCTTAAATACACTGACGTTTCCATGTCTACGACGAGGACATGGAGCTCTGCCCCCCACCACCCATGCCCTCATATAAGTTTGTAATTCAGCTACTTATGTAGCGTCCCGAGACTCCCTGAAGACGAAAGAAGACACAATGCTCGTGCAGAATATATACATTTAGCACGGAGAAGGTGTCTGGGCTATTGGTATGGCCCAAAAGGCCAGCCCACCCAGCGAGGTACAAGGGGGCTAATTCAAAGTACAAAAGTGGCGCCTCACCAGAACCGAGGGATAAACCACTATCGTATTACACTTACATATCAATGTGTACCATAACACCTTTAGTTGTTATTTGATCCTATACACTAGAAACTATGGTCAAAATATTAGGCATAAGATAAAAACAGGGTTCGCGACACCCTAATCACCATACTTGTAAATCTATATCTCAAACTTGCGGTTGAAATCAACTAGCCCTAATGGTCATCGTGACATGAAAAGCTCCTACATAATTTCGGAGGGTGTTACAAGAAGCTGTTTTTATGAAGGGTATTTTAGAGCTAGGAAAACACAGGACTTTGTTTTCAACTACCAAGGCTCTAGGACACCTGAAAGCAGCCGATCGGTATTAAAACCCCCTAATTATTCTTTTTAAAATATCTTATGCATTTTTTGAGGTGGGAGATGCGATCAGCAGTGGAAATTGCACATTAGAAGTCCTTTGTTTAGAATGATGTCTTAACCAACAATTAGTCATGCAAGCAATGAGTGTTCACATTCTAATGTGTAAACAAAGTACTGGTCACCACAACTCCCACTTTTTCTTCGCATTGACGTAGTACCCAAACAATCATAACAAGGTCATGTACTAGCTCCTCTTTTTCTCCCTTCCACCCTAGCCTTCGTAACCATGACACGAGCGGAGGCGGATGACGTTCCATCTGTCACGAGGTTTGTGTTTACTGGATGCGTCTTGCCTAAAAGGTGCATCCAAGCAAACTTTTTTAAAGTTATATTTTTGTCTTAAAAATGTCATCAAAAAGCACTCCCTCTACCAGTTCTGCGGGGACTTTTAGCAGCTATTATTCAACTGGAATTCGAGCTCCTGAAACTGCCAAATCTGAGGTCGATTGAACTTTTGACCGTTAACTGTCTATGGACGATAGTTCAACAGGTTTAAAGCTGCCTTGTAAAATTAGTTGAGAGTACTGTAAGCATTCTGAACAAAATCTCTTGACTCCATCATGGTGGCCAAAACATGGAAGCCGATGAAGTTGTTGATGGTACTGTACTGTAATACTTATGCTGTTTTAATGTACCTTTCAGGGAGGAGGCAATCCGGAGATTCGAATCTGGTGAGAGTCGTCGCCTTTCGTGCCTAGTTGTGATAGCGGTTCTTCCCCTCCTTAAACATTGTACCATTAAGTTCGATTGATGAATGGCAAACCTTAAGGTGACAGAAGAAGGACATGTCCAGCGAATGGGGAAATCTGTCAGGACCCCTAAGAGAGGGGGTGAAAATATCGTCTGCTTTCAGCATTCACCTCAGTAGTGCGTCCTAAAGGAAAGTCATTAAAGACTGTAGTGACACCAGGCCTGAGCCAACTGGAAAGTTGCTCACCGAACTGTCAACGGTGTTTGGATAAAGTTGTCAGTTAAATGAATACGGCATACCTCCTCCATTCCTCTACCAATTGTATAGAACCCAGCTAAACATAGCTCGATAGCGCTGAAGTGTAAAAAGGTGACAAGGAGAAACAGATGCGAAACCTTATCCCCATGATACTATTTTAATCCGCATCCTTTATTAAATGTCTCTGCTTTTAGGCCAGTGTTCTCACCACTAGCGATGGATAAACGAGATAGCCAGCACATTCCTCCATCCCCCGTATAGTTTTAAATCGGATAAAACCTTAGATCCAGTGGAATAGCTAATTTTATGCGGATTCGGGGCGTTTTTCCTTCCAGCTTCAACTACATTGTGATAGCCGACGGATGTCGAGGGCAAAGCTCAAAAGGGGAGGGAAACATGTAGTGCTTTGATTGTTTGATCAAGTCTTCATTTGGGTTGCGCGGACACTTAAGGCTCCGCTTCTATACTTCCACTAAGTGGCCTTGGCAACACACATTCTGGCTTCGTGTTATGTTATCTTTTGTCTTCATGGAAGTTGCAGGGAACTACAGTAGCTCTTATGCATAGCATTATTTGATTTTTTCGCGAATCTCAATTAAATCCCCATCAGTATTTATTACTTGCTACCATGATCGAAATATTCCAACTTTAGGCAAAAAATTAGTGCAAAGCTGCGCAAGAATGGTCACTACTGCTAAAGACTACGATGGACGTCATTGTAACCTAAGCCTTGTGGGGAAATAGAGGTAGCGGGTTTGGACACTAGGCCTGTATTGCTATTTATCCGTCCACTCTATCGCCTTTTTACATGAAGGGACCTTAAATAAGCCACTTTGAAATAAATGCTGGGGTAGTGAGCTTGAATTGATGCATCTTTACGAACTTTAATGCGTGGTTAGATAAGTATTTTGCGGATCTTATGAAGCGACTTCAATTAATCGCATTGAGGCATATTTATCGCTTTTGGCAGGGCACAGCTTTACACTAATCTAAACCTTTTGGCAACAAAAGTAGACGTTGAGTAGTGTCTCGAGTCTTTCCGGAAGACGAAGGAGGTTATAATACTATGACAGAAAATGTTTTGCTGACGTGAAGAAGGAGTGGAGGCTACTAGCATTACCCAGAGGCTGTCACCCGGCGGAAGTGTAAGGGTAGCACCTTCAGTGCCCGCGAAGTCCAAATATAGAGTCAACCAAACTATCAAAGTATTACATAGCCCTTATCAACCCCCCCCTCCTCCCCCTGAGTGATGTCCCCAGCGCTCCCCATGGCCAACCCCCCACACCGATTGTCCAATTTGCGTGTAAATGAGAGGATATTTGACCTCAACGTCCTGCTTGGGACCCGTATTGGGTGAAGGAAGAATGCGATGGCCATCACTGCGTCCATCGCTAGGCTTAAGAACACTGGCCTAACAGCAGATTCATTTCATGAAGTTTTCACTCCTGTGCCTTGTTACCACTTCGTTCTCACCTTGATGCTCCCCAGCCATGTGTATATCTTCTATCCAGCTTGTGGAGAGTTGGAGGAGGACATGGACATCTTTATACAGGTACCGTAGACACCTCCATAACGAGCTTTTCCATATGGCTCATAGCTATCACCACTTCAATTGCTAATAGCATCCCTACAAAATACAGTACTGGAGTGGTTTCCGAAGGTAGACATCATTATTAACCATTTTGCTGGGGACCACCACAGATTCGCTCACCCACGGCCTGTGCCCCTCTTTCGTTACATTAAGATTCAGCATTTAGTAATGGAAGCTCTAGTTCGAGTTCGCATTCCACTACCAATATTGCAGTGTCCCGAGACTTCCCTGAAAACGGGAGAAGGCGTAATCCTAGAGGAGATGCATTACCGACAAACAGAATAAATCAAAAGCTACCCACATGACCTGGAGGTCATACCACCTAGCGAAAGTGTGGAGGCGGACCCTTTAGTGCCCACAATACCAAGCCGAAGAGTTTAAATAATTATCTAAATGTTGCAGTTGCATAATACGATGGCTAATCAAATCACAGTGTTGCGAGTCTTGCATCAGCTCGAATTTGTAGACTCAGGCGACCCGACAAGATTTTGATCTTGTTTAGGAGAGGGAGTGGGGGAGGGGGGGAAGAGAAAAGGTTGTGCGATTGAAAGGTACAAAAAAAACAATTGAATACAACTTTGATGAGGGATTTATGCAACGAAACGCATTTGATTCCATCTGCCACGATGAGATCCTGCCTTCCACTTTGGAGCATGTGGCGAAGTGATTGGAAGATGTGCGAAGCCCTAGCAGCATGAAAATCGCGATAACCCCTCTTGTCAATGTAATCTCCATGTGTAAGTGTAGAGGTGTCACATATATGTGGTGCGATTATTACACACTGGGCCATGAACTGCTGTCAAAAGTCCAAATCATCTCAACAACGGAGGTCCATCACCATGACACGGTAAATGAGTTGCAGTGTCCTGTTAATACTTCATAAGATTGTCCGTGATTTGATAATCTACAATGATTGACAGCTTTGCACTTGTTCTCCCTGTTTAATGATGATCGTCAAAGGTAATTAACGCAAACTGGGAATGCTCTGCCATCGTAAAAGGATTTGGTTCAAATGATGGAGGACCTGCCAAGCTGGATGGATGGAGAGCTTTCCGAAATCTACCACAAAATGCAGTGAAGGTGGTGCATTTTCCAAGCACCCACAAGGGCCTGGATTCGTTTAACTTTTTGGCATTTTAAAAACGCTCGGACGCGGATGATAACCACAAAAATAAATCCACACTGAATTGAGACGCCAAGTTGCTTATGGTATTGCGAGTGGCGAGGGAATAGGGGTCAGCAGGCCGGCAACTTTGCAATTGTGGGAGCGAGGCGCTTACAACAATATGAACGCCTAAGGGTCAATGTAAAGCCGGTTTTTCACACTAAACATCAGAAAATTGGGAGCTAACGCAGACGACGAAGTTGCGTGCGGCCTTCTTCGTCTAGAGCGCTTAACCTGCCTTGAAATCGTTAGATCCATGGTGATTGAAATTGGAATAAGGCTTCTGGCTTCGGTCGGGAATAAATTACCAATGACAAAGAAGTAGAAGGGCCTTTGTGGGGTAAAGCATTACCAGAAAACCCGAATATACTGATGAATAGAATTTTAATCACAAGTTATGCAAAGCGTACCACACGTCTGCACCACTTGGAAGCAATCCATGACGAAGTGGTGGAGGGTGCATTTAAGCCCCGGTTAGAGGGGCTTTGTACCCCTAAAACAACTTACACGATCCAAGCAACCTACTTTTCCTGTTTTGAATCCACATTCTTTTAAAGGGTGCAATTTAGAGGATAAACCCCAAACATGGACGTGCTGCAAGGGACTTCTTGAAGTGTGTTGAAAACGACGGTCGACTTTAAGAGGCGTTTGTCCGGTCAATAGCGACTTTACCCCAGAATATTTTTCCAGGGATGCTACGACGCCCGGGTTCTTTACTAAATAAAGTCCTTACTTGGAAGTTAACGGTACATTTCGATTAGATGGATAACCAAAATGACTGGATTCATTCGAAGCGATGTTTAAAAAAGGCGGCCCTTACCACCAAATCAGCACAAATGCCCAACGCGGTTGTCATGACCACCACCACCACCACACATAAGGGACTTGACCTACAAATGCATTTGAACCTAAGGTATACCATCTCATCACATTGCAACAGAATGCCTCCCTCCCAATTCACTTCAGTGTCCGCACGACACCGATTTGCTCAAACATCACAAGCCGGGGGGTGGCTCATGGCAACGATATAGATTCCAGCGCCGGACTCAGTATTATGCCAGCCAAGACATGCTGCGTTAAAAATAATTAACACCGGCAAAAGCAAAACATGTCGCCGTATCAACCATTACGCCGGCTAACTGAATCGTCCTCAACCATACACAGTAAAAGCAGTAAACTGCCGTGTGATTCTCCCGTAAGGTCGAAAAAAAAAGTGTCGCATGCTGCAGACTGTTTATCCAAGAGGTGACATGAACTCTGAGTAAACCGGGTTTTCACCATCGCACCCTAGAGCAACTGAGTGAAGAGTAAGCAAACCGGAGTTGATACCATTAATGGACATATCATCTGGATGCCATCGATTTAAATGAGGAAGCGCAATACAATGCATCAACAGTCAGAATGGCAGTAATGAGGTTGTAATTTACTCCACCTCAGTTGTCTAGCTCGTCACGTGGATAGATGCGCAGAAGTTTGGGCTTCTCCCAGGAGAATTCCTTTCGACCGAAATGCCCGTAAGCAGCCGTTTTCTGGAAGATTGGCAGCTGCAGATCTAGCTCCCTATAAAATGAAACAAAACCATAAGTGCTATTAACGTGGATAACACGACAGAACAAACACGCACTTAATGATGACACCAGGTCGGAGGTCAAAGTTTTCATTGACAATCCTCAGAAGCTCAGAATCGGGCATCTTTCCCGTCCCATAGCTATCCACGTAGACAGCCAGTGGTTCGGCAATACCAATAGCATAAGAGAGCTGGACGAGAACTCGCCGACACAATCCGGCTTTGACAAGCGACTTAGCCACCCATCTGGCAGCGTAAGCAGCCGATCTATCGACTTTGGAGCAGTCCTTACCTGAGAAAGCTCCCCCACCATGAGCTCCCCAGCCCCCATAAGTGTCGACAATGATCTTTCGCCCTAGAAGTGGAAACGCAAAGGTCAGCAGCTTATCGATTTCAGGATGGAGTGAAAATTAGGCATGAGGGCGGACGCACCAGTAAGACCAGCATCGGATTGAGGACCACCGATTACGAAGCGGCCAGATGGATTTATGTGGTAGATGGTGTCATTGTCCAGGAGACTCGAGGGAATGACTTGACGAACAACATGCTCCATCACCTCCGAACGAAGTCGTTCCAAACTAACGTATTGGTCGTGCTGGATCGAAATAACAACGGTATGGACACGAAGCGGGACACACGCGCCATTATCCTTTTTGTACTCCACGGTGACCTGAAATCAGTAGCCGCTCGTCGGTCAGTTTAACAAATGAGGGGTAACAAATTAAAAAAACGAATAGGGTGATTAAGCTAAAAGCCGAGCGTACTTGGGACTTTGAGTCGGGACGAGCCCAAGGAAGAGTTCCATCACGCCGACATATCGCAAGGCGTTCATTGAGAGCATGAGCGAGCACGATGGTCAAAGGCATGCATTCTTCAGTCTCATCAGTTGCATAACCGAACATAAGACCCTGAATTACATAAGTTGCGTGTCAGTTCCTCGAAAATGGCCATTAAAATGCGTAGAAACTGGGAGTAACAATGGCACGAACCTGGTCGCCGGCTCCTATTTCTTCCATCGATTTACCCTCATGGACGCACTGGGCGATGTCAGGGCTCTGTTGCTCAATTGCCGTAAGGACATTGCAAGTCTTGAAATCGAAACCCTTGCGAGAATCATCGTAACCAATCTTCTCAATCACACGCCGTATGACAGACTGGAAGTCGATGGTGGCTCTGGAGGAGATCTCGCCGCCGATAAGAATCATACCCGTTTTTGTAAAGGTTTCTGAACCGTCTCAGAGGCAAAACAAAACCTTACCACATGCAACTTTCGAGTTGGGATCAAGCTTCAAGTATTCATCCAGAATGGCATCGCTGACCTGATCGCAAATTTTATCTGGCTAATAATTTAAAGGATAGACAGGACTACCTGCATGGCCCTCACCGACAGACTCAGAGCTAAACAAAAAGGTTTCCCCAACCTCATCACCAGTGCCAGTACTTGAGTTAGGCATAGCAAAATTTGACGTACATAAATACACAAAATGTTAGATGATAACAGCACGCCAAGCTACTGGCATGGACGGTACACTTAAAGCAAAGGAAAACGCATCTTTGTTGGTCAGCTTAAACAAAGTGGCTAATATAAAATATTTGATAAATTATGTAAAAGATGGGCATAAAAAGGCCCAAGAGTAGACAGCAATGAAGTGACGGGCCTGAACTGGACCAATAGTAATCAACTTTTCCCCGTGAAATTTGAAGTAAGAGTAATCAGAATTAGGTGGGGTCTTGGTGAAGACCAATGGATAATTCATTTTTTGTACAGCTTACATCTTTACGAAAACACAAGTCTTATGAACGCACTAATTCATTGCCGGTAGAAAAAGGAGTTAGGATGCTGCAAGTACAATTCTGTGTGAGCAAAATGTATGTGCACCACATTTTTCTCCTCCTTTTTTTAATTTTTAAGCGAGGCAAAGTAGTGCGTTGAAGTATTCAAATCAAAACTACCATGAAACTTAATAATGTTCATCCTGTCTTTCAACTAAGTGACACAAAGAAATACGTATCTTATATCTAAACCTAGCCTAATAGCATGTATGAGAAAACGAAATTTCGCTCGCTGGTGCCAATTTTTTTTGTTAATAAAGTGCAAAAGAGAACGAATATTCTTCTGCAATCTCTTTAAATCTGATTACTCGCATGCGTCAGTACTAGCAAATTTGCTGCACCATTAGTCGTCCACTTACTTTATTTCTCGACATTGAGAGGTTATCTTATTTATTAATTCAAATAGTGTGGTCTAACCCAAGAACTCTCCCATTGGATCGGGCGACCCCCAAAATGGTGGCGCTGACTCTGCCTCGGGAACGTTGCGCTGGTGGTGATGTCGGGATGCCATTTTGACATAGAAGGTGCCGTAGATTTTATCACAAAAAATGGTTTTTCAAGGGTAATACTTAGATTGTAAAGTTAACTATATGTAGGTTGGTCTTCAATTCCATTCGGATCTCTTGTGTTCCTCTATTGATGTTTATGAGGAGCTTAGCAAACGGACCTCGGCCGCCATAGCTGTCCTAGGTGATACTCCGTACAGCAGTTGCTGCGTGGACGAGCTGGCTGGCAAACGATGGGGTGTGGATGCCGTCATCCACTTTGGGAACGCCTGTTTAACTGAATCGACTGGGGAGATCAGTGTGTTTTACGTCTTTGGTGACATTCCTTGTCCGTCTATCAATGACAATTTGGCCAAGATAGGCGATCAAATTACGCAGTACCTTTCATGTCATGACGGTCCGACACTGTTTTTCTACGATTTTCGCTACAGCAACACAGCGAAAAAATTGGCTGACCATCTTGCGTCAGGGAGTATTAACCTTGTTTTCTCTGAACCCGCTCTACCGGGCCTTGATATCACAACAGATGCCTCGTTCGTTAAACATGCAGGGAGAGTTTTCCGCTGCAGTGATAAATTGAAGTCTCCCCGATGTCTTCTTTATCTCGGCGAATGCGACTCAGCCTTCTATAGTACTTTGGTCAGTTTAAAGGAGGCCTATACAATCAAGGCCTTCACAATTGATCCTACATCCGGACAAGTTGCTCCCGCCCCAAAGTCCGCCTTGGCATTCCTCCGCAGACGATACTTCCTCATGGAAAAGATTAAGTCAGCCAAACGGATAGGAATTCTGGTACGGAAAAACAAACTTTGTTAAGTTGTGAGCATTTTTGTATTGACACATATTTATTGATTCGTCATGGTGCTAACGTGAGTTGCTTCACTAATCTAATCCTGAAGTCTATTAAGTAGCACACTTCATGGCTACCAATCAGATGTTTTTTTACCTACAGATGGGTACCCTTTCGGTGTCACGGTATCGCGACATCGTGGCAAGATTAAAACGCCTCCTTCGACGTGCAAAGAAGCCCTACACAACGTTGGTTGTAGGGCGAATAAACGAAGCGAAGTTAATGAATCTCCCAGATCTGGACGGTTTTGTTTTGGTCGCCTGTCCACAGACCAGCATTTTTAATGATCCGAACCTTCTCATTCCTGTGGTCACACCCTTTGAGCTCGAATGTGTCCTCTATGACCTCTCTACAGAGGGTGGGGCTTCAATTGAGCATCCTAGACGTTGGAATGGTCTCTGGATGCCTCTGGATTTTGCTGCGGATATACTTGATTCAGGTAGAAGTATGATTTGTTCCAATACCGCTTTCCTTGTCTCAAATTGCGTCAAAGATCCGCCGGCGTGCATTGTTGCTGTTTCGGCTCAAACCATTGACGAAAATTGATATTTTCAATGCTAGTATTCATTTGAGTGCTAGCATCGTACACCAATTTTCGCGTTTGTGCCCTGCTCTCCATAACTAGAGTGGTAGTGTTGATGCTGACGAGGGTTGTGTAGCGCTGCACTTCCTCGGGATGTATTTTGCTGCCTGTTGTGTGAGTTGTTTCTTGCATTTTCCTTGTTACTATGTGTAGATATTTTTCCTACCATCTACGTAAAATTTGTGTGCGGGGCTCTCTCATTTCAGAATTCGCCTTAACGTAAACCATTTACGATAACAGACTCATCGATGGTGGTGTTACTTCAAATGCTGGTATCATACACTTGCATATGCTTGATGCAAAGACAGCAAGCACCTAATTGCGCTTAGGTTCATAAGAAAATGGGAACACGATGGTGTGTTGAGAGCTTTTGATGAAAAGCAACCGTGAATGATCAGTGAAGATAGGAAGTAGTCAGATACACTTTGATAAATCTTTGGAATTTACGTAGGCTATGGTGACTCAATCGAACATTGCTTCAGGTCCAGTATGTTATGCAATGTGAATTTGGATGGTGATTGGGAAGAGCAGATTAAGTGAATCCTTCAATCTTATGATCCATTTACAATGTGGTCTGAATCTTCTATTCCTTATACAACGTCCCAGGTCTGTGTAAAAATATCCGCTCAGATAAGTAACATGGGTAGATTCTTCGATGCCAGTATGCTCTATCCTTCCGCCTAGAGGTGCTGAATCATTCGGAGCGAAGGAACACCAGATAGCAAACCATTTTAATTCTCTATAGTCCATAAAAACAAACTGCGTATATTCCTACTGTTTTGTGAAATTTTCTCAAATGCTTACTGTTTTTATTCTTCTCTCCTTGTGTTTTTCAAATAACAGTCGCACAATCAAGTTTTGATAAACCGTGCTAAGTACTGGTAACAAAACGTGGATTTCTTTTTGTTTTTTCTACTCTATTTGAAAAGGAGCGGGCAGTGTATGTGGAAATTAATTACTATGCAAAGGAGTTCTCCATTGTTGGAGTTTGGAAAAAATGAAAAATGGCATCCTTGAACTTTGTGGGCCCTAAGTTCTATTTGGTTTTACCATGGTTACCCAAATTTGAGGACTTCGTTTCTGTCAAGCACCTATCGACAGTACATCGTTGTCGTTCCGGCTTGAATTGTTGGTGGAAGTGAATATCGTTGTGGTGTTTCCCTTGGAAAGATAGCGTTATACACTAGGGGAAGTAATAAAACTATTTTATTCCGCCTTATCGATATTAACACTGAACGAATTCGAATCAGTCAAATCGGTGAAACCGTATTTTTAGTCTTTCTCCAAGACTTTTCCAATCACCGCGATGTGGACGTATTTGTGGTTCGAGGTACCTTTGAGTAATTGTTGTGTGCTAATTCTATTACATAGTGTTTTGGGTGTGAAACTGAAGTTTTGTGCTTATAATGGATGACACATGCATGATAACCACGGACATCTGGAATGTAACGTGATTTTCTACTTTTCAAGTTAGTGTATTGACCACGCTCTGTGTGATTGTATCTCGTGTTCCGAATTGCGTCAAAGATCCGCCGACGTGCATTGTTGCTGTTCTGGCTCAAACCATTGACGAAAATGGATATTTTCAATGCTGGTATTCATTTAAATGCTAGCGTCGTACACCGATGTTCTCATTTCTGCCTTGTTTTCCATTGCTGGGGTGAAGATGTTGATTTTGTTGGAGAACGTGTACGGCTATGGGTGGCAGTATGGTCTGTTTAAATGATGCTCTCTTCGTTTTGACTTGCGTCAAAGGTCCGCCGGGGTACATTGTTCCTCTACTGGCTTAAACCTTTGACGAAAATGGATACTTTCAATGCTAGTGCTTATTTGAACGTCCACTGATTTTCTCATTTATGCCTCATTTCCCAGTATTGGGGCGGTGCTGATGTTGATGCTAATGCAGGTTGTGTAAGGCTGCAAATGATCGCTAAAGTCCAGTTTTTTGTGTACGCTTGCCTTCTTCGAAATGCATTTTCCTACCCGATGCATGAATTGCTTCTTGCATTTTCCTATTTGGCATGTGCATATATTTTTCCCATCACCTGCGTGGGATTTGTGTACAATGGTCTGCTTTTTCAGAGTTACCATTAGCCAAGCCAAACTCTTTGCTACTGGTGCCTCATCTATTTGTTGCTCCGATTTTCTCATCCAAATCTCGCGTCTCAGGGTGTGATTTGTTCTCGATCTGTTTATCTCGAATGGTTGTATCAAATCGTTTTGCGAACAGCTTAGTTGAGTTTAAAACAATAAAGTAGTTGCATGATGTTCGGGTGAGAATACCAGCATTTGTTTCGCTCTGGAGTGGTAGTGGAATTGGTCATTTCGGTAGTGCAGTTCCTGATGTCATGCACCTGTCAAACGTCTGGGCCGGAAAGTGTTAAGTCAAATTCCCGAAAGTTTGCTTCCTGATGCTTTTTACATCGTTGGTTTTAAATACATTACTAAATCGTCTTCACTTTAATGCACGATTATTTGCGTACTTTTTCTCCATTGTCTGAGACGCTGTGTATGATGCGTTTTAAAATTGGACTTCCTAATAGCACCCGTCGTTGGTACTGTAAGGAATTTTCGTATAGTTGCTGTTTCCATAAATTCCTCCTCCTCTGTTGTTGGTTTCTCACTTCCGGATTCAGAAGCTAATTTTTAACACTCGCACCGCGAATGCAGCAGTTATGAGTTTTATTGAAACACTATTTCTTCAAAAGTTGGCTCTACTGCTCCATCAGTTGCCCATTAAATCACACTCGGGATTAAGTTCCACCATTTCTTGTTCCTTGTTGCCGTCGTCATATATGGTGTGTAGTTATGGAGATATTATTACAAAACTTACTCCGCTCTGAACTCCAGTCATGCAACTATGCCTGATCCCTCTGAACATTTTTTTCCTCCTTATTGACGCAACAGAATCAGCAATCTTCGCACCGGAAGAGAGTGTCGTTCCTGCGAGAGACTCGGAGGAAACCGTCGGAAAGGAGGAGCCAAAGGAAGGCGCCTTGGTGTCTCGTGACAGCGCGAACTGGAGTCTCGCTCTGGCCTGCGAAGATCTCCTTTCGGGTACTCGCGACTCCTGGCGTGGACTTGACCCCGCGCTGGGTCAGACGCCACCTCTCATCACTATCAAGCGCGGTCGTACTGGCCTTCCTACCAAATACTCTACCCTTTGTGAATGAAAGCAGATACTTTTCAATACGGCTAGTAATGTTCCAGTGAGGATTTCGGATTTTTTCTTAAAATCTGAACGTAGCAATGATGCTTAAGCGAAGCTTCTGGAATTTACGGTGGAGACTGTTTTCATATTCCTGTATTATTGGACCTGGGTGTTACGTTGATAGCAACTTTAGCGTACTCACTTCTGAGGAATGACACCAGTGCTGATACCATCGGCTCGGTGCTACGCCAAAGCATTATAAGGGGAGGCTTCAGCGGAACTCGCAACGGAAGGGCTATCAAAATCGTGTCAATCTCAAATTTTGCGCTATGGCGTGAAGCTAGATTAGAACATCCATGTAGGTCCTGCAACCTCACCATGGTCCGGACAAATGACGAGGCAGGATCAGGAATGGAAAAGGTGTACAGCTCCTGCTTTTGTTGTGGGATATCGTGTAGCGTCTGGAGTCCTCACCGAATTTGTTGCGGGTCAGAGTGTTATGGAAGAATGTGTTAATAATGTATGGGAGGATTCGAAGGTGGCTGGCCTGATTTGGAGGTCGTGCTGTAGACCAGGACTGTAATTTACAGTCAATTACCTCTTCGATGAAGCGACAGATCACCGCGTATCGAGCAGTTCCGGTAAATATCCAACTTGCTGTGTAACAGGTAATTGTTTTAGTTTCAAAGATGATTGTATGGACTCAGTGGTTGTCTCAAAGGTTCCTGACTCTGAGCCGTGTTTGTGTCACTCCATACTGACCTCCAGTCCTATCGTTCGCGTCCAACTTCGTTTCCATCACAACGGCATAACTATTGTACTTCCACCAGCGGCATGACCAAGAGGCCGTGCTGGTAGCTCCCATGTCTTTCAAAACGTCAAAGTTAGATATTCTGCTTGAGTATTATGTCTTCTTTTATCTGCAGGAAAAACTCGGAGTGCAACATCGGTAGCAGTGGAAAGCGAAGCCGATCCTAAAGGGCAAATTTCTCGATTTCCATTCCCAAATGCTTGTCCTTAACTTAACGGAAGAAGTGCGTGTTACTGCAGATGGGCGAATCTGCAAGGAACCCCAACAGAAGGGTTAAAAATGATGTCCACCTTCGGCAACCACTCCAGTCCTGTATTCCGTAGGAATGCTATTACCATTTGAAGCGGTAGTAGCTGTGAGCCATATGGAAAAGCTCGTTACGAAGGTGTCCACGGTACCTGTATGAAGATGTCCATGTCCTCCTCCACCTCTCTACAAGCTGGATGGAACACAGATAGACATGGCCGGGGAGCAATGAGGTGAGAACAAAGTGGCAACGAGGCATAGACACGGAACCTTCATAAGTCTGCTGTTAGGTCAGTGTTCTTACGCCTAGCGATGGACGCAGTGATGGCCACCACACTTTTTTCTCTTAATACGGTTCCCAAACAGACGAAACTCCAGTTTCTGTGGAATCGTCGGGAGGGATCAGTTAAGCTGAGAACGAATACTTCGTTTGTGTGCAAATTCAATGACTGGTGTGGGTGGTTGGCCAAGGGGAGTACTGGGGACATTACTCAAAGGAGGAGGAGGAGGAGGAGGAGGGATGGGGTGAAGGGCCATGCAATTGATAGTTTGGCTGACTGTTTTGGCCTCACGAGCACGGGTGTTATTTCTTACAGCGCCGACTACCTTCTGATGACCGACGTGATAGGTTGACCATGAGGAGGCCCGAAATCTATCCTCAAATGCAGAGGGAGGGGGAGTTAGGTAATACTTTGATTGTTTGCTTAACTCTTCGTTTTGGTGACGCGGACACTAAAGAGCAGGGTCATTGTACTTCCCCCCGGTGCGTTGACCTCCAGACCCCACCCGACCTCAACTGTCATCGGCAATGCATACTTTGCCCTTGTATTGTAATATCTTCTTTCATCGAATTCTGGGGCAATGTGAGAGTCACAGCTTTCTCTGTGTGATTGGGTCTTGTGTTTGGATTTTGAACTACTTCTTTACTCAAACCTGTAATACTACTGTGATCAAAATATTTTTAAAATATGTACTGAGAACCAAATCTCACAGATCTAGTAAATGGTAAATAAGGGTCAATTGAGGCATCTTATCATCAGTAAGTGTACTGGCATAAAAGAGGGATTTATTTAACGTCTCCTGATGGAAAAAGAGAAATGAATGTCTTGCACTCCCGCCGGCTGGATAAACCAGCCTTCCTGGCGCATCCCTACGTCACGGTGGTACTATTCAACCAGGTTGAAACTGGACCCTGATGCTAGTAGTTGTGGTTCACCATTCCGGTCCGTGGCGAATAATCCACTTAAATTTGAAAAAGAAAATTGCAAACTGATTTAATGCTAATTTGGGATGAACAGTTGAAATGTTTTTCCCGGCACTGTCGTTTTGAGCAAGTTCTAAAACCCTCCGATGGCACCTGGTTAGCCAATGCGCAGTTCGCGGTTGGCACGACAAAGCCTAGCTCCAGCAGCCCTTGTTACATCGCGCTAAAAAGACCAACGGTTTTATCAAAGTGTCACTGGGTAGCTAAAGCACTAAAAAACGCAAAGAAATTTAATGATTTCAGAACAAAACTTGTCAAAGCATGAAGCAAAGCAGGTAAAGAACCACGCAAACACGTCATAATCCTTTGTAAAATTTGAATTGCTGATCGAGGATGGAAACAGGTGAGGAAGTCTTGGCAATTAATTCCGCGCCAAAGGGGGGTACTAGATGACGATAGCGCATTAGGACACTACTTTGGAAAAAATCTCACCCAGACCGCAACAGATACCCAAAAAAACTCATCGCCTAGATTGCCAACACGGTTGTGGGGGGGATGGTTCTGGGAGGTGACTAGTCTAGCCCCGAAATAGTAGAGCTAATCCGAGATTGGTGTGGATAATGCTCAGTGGAAGTAAAAATGTGTATACACCTCAACCTCCGGAAGAAAATCATCAACTGACTGAAGAAAATAGTTATAAAGAATTTAAGCTCTAGCTTACACGAGTAATCAACCACCCTTCACATTCGTCCGCAAAATGATACCCGTGTGTGAAGACAACAGGCGGAGTGGGGACTCAGTCTGTGTTTTTACCGTAACAAATGATACAAAGTGTCTAAGAAATTAAACAGCAACAAGGCTCCTTTGGCCTGCTACTCTTGATTGGCACAAAACACGTTGTAGTTGCTGAATTTGGGATCTGTCGAACCAACACTTGCTGCTGCCTCGAGGATTTGACACTTCAAGAGATCCCCCTCTTTACTGCTTCCACGCTCCATCTCCTCACTCCTTCCATCCTCAACATCCTCCACCAGGGCTTGGGGCGAAGCTTCGTCATCGTCTCTGGCTCTCACAGATTCGGTGATTTCATAATCATCTAAAAGGTGATCAGGTTCAATGTACGACGTAATCATGTTGTCCTTCAACTTCTACGCCTACTTCGAATTGATGCTACCTGGAACACCTGAATTATCACTGTGCTAGCAGAAGATGAACAAAACTTCTAACTCCAAGCTCAACGACGGTAAACGTTACTTGGTAGGCACAAAATATGAAAGCAAAACATGGAAGAGAATTTTGTTATAGAAGTAGGGAAAGAGTAAAAAATAATAAAACTGCCTGGAGTCAATATGCACAAAAAGTGATTAACAGTTTTTATGTGCTTTTCAGTTGAATATTTTTTAATCGGTAATGAGTAAATTGTATTAATTCACCTAAAATTTCTTCAATAAGAGGCACTTTAAGGGTCACTTTTCCTTTTGATTCTTCTAAAACGAAACAAAACATTTGGAGGCATTTTTTTAAAAAATATCACAATTTGAAACTATTATTTCTTAATCAACTATCCAATAGATTTAAGTAAACAATGAAATTGAGAGAGTAATTGTACAAACGGTTCACTTAGGCGCCTTGCATAATTGTGACTTCGTCTGGTGGACTGGCCTCTGGGCCATGCCAGTAGACTCTTAGGCCCTACTATAAGTCAAAAATACATACTTTGCCCAAGTACTATGTCTTCCTTCGTCATCAGAGAAGTCTCGGGGAATACATTAGTGGCAACGGAAAGAAAATTCGATCCGAAAGGACAACTTCCGCGATTTCAACCGCTAGATGATAAAACCTAACTAAGTGGAAGAAGCGCATATGCTGAGGGTGAATCGGTGACTACCCCCAGTTCCTCAATCTGTAGGAAAGCTTTTACCAACCTAAGACGTACTAGCCGTGAACCGTCTGGAAAAGTCTGTTATGGAGTTATCAACGGTGCCTACGAAAGGATGGCAATCATGTGAACTCGCAATGCCTCCTCCACTTCTCCGCTAACTGGATAGAGCCCGGAGAGATACGCCCAATCAGCACTGAAGTGGGAATAGTGACAAGGAGGAACAGACGCAAAGCCTTATTCCTAAGGAATGATGTTAAAAACGCCGTCTTTTGTTGTAGGACTCAACTTTTAGGCCAGTGTTCCTACGACTAGCTATGGACACACTGAATAATTGGCGCATTCCTCCATCTTCATATCTGCTTCCCATACAGAAGTAAACTCTAGATCTCATAGAATTGTCAAGAGGAATCAGTGAAGTTGCAGTTAGGTATCTTCTTAGTTCCATGATACGATGGCTCATGAAGGAGGCTGGCCAATGCGAATGCAGGAAATGAAACGCAAAAGTGAGAGGAACCATGCAATAGGTTGGGAGCTTATTTAACTCTCGGTTTTTGGTACAGTGGTAACTGGAGGCGCTCTGCCGTTATACCTTCGCCGGGTGGATTGGCTTCCGGGCCACGCCAGTAGCCCAAAGCCTTACCGTATGTCGATACTACATATTCTGCCCCAGTACTACAACTTCTTTCGGTTTCAGAGGAGTCTAGGGGGCTACATTAGTGGGAGCAGAAAGCAAATCCGATCTCAAAGGGCGATTTTCCCAATTTCTACCGCACCCACAAAATTAAATACAAACAACGATTGAATTACCAAAAAGTATTCCTTTACCTTCCAAGGATACACTGCCTAAATTGGATACCTAACTCTACTGGTCTACATAAAGAGGTTAGCAAAACTTCTTTTCCGTGTTATTCGGAAATAGGAATCGGACTACCTTCAGCTGAAATTCCGAGTTCCTCAACAAACACCGATTTAGGCGATCCGAGTGTGGAGGGAGAATCTAAAATTATACAACTTTGACTTAAAAATAAATAACTCAAATGTCATTTTTATCATACAGACGAATATCAAAGCATGGTGACATTAAAAAAGAAACCAATGTGTGGAAAATCCAAAAAAGAACCTTAAAAATACGCTTCATTACATCCGCAATGAGGCAAGTTACCAAGGAAAGGTAAATTGAAAGGCATACCTTTCATGATAAGTAGTTTCGACTTCCAACTGAAATCATCACATTCTTCGAATAGTGACTTCGAAGAAGCCTTTTCGGCCTGTAGAGTAGGCATACTTACTTCCACAACAGGCTCATCCGATTGGTCTGTATCAATCTATTAAAAAGAAGTCAAGCCAACCAATCAGAAGCTGCTTAAATGGAATAGGCGATCAGAAATCGCTCCAGACCGCAAGTAAACTTACTGGCACGGAAAACGACTCCGCATGATCAATATTTTGTTCTTCCATCTGCCTCAATACTTTAGAGGGAGTGAATTCCTCAATCTCACTTTCAGTGCTAGCGTCGTCATCATTAAGAGCGTCAACAGTTGAATTCTCAGTCTCCATGCTATCAACCGGAGGTGCAGATGCAGCAGTATCTTGAATTGAGACGTCCTGAACATCTCCGCCCGCCGTGTTGGGTTGTTTCAACTGCTCTGCTCCGTAGAGCCAGTCCATATCCTCTGGATTTACATGGATGTCGTCAGTGGGAAGATTTTCCCCTCTGGCCTTTTCCACTAGCTCCTTCTCCTGATTCGCCGCCTCTATTTTCTTGCGTCGCTCTGTTAACCCTATGGAAGTTTCATTTCATAGGTTCGTCAACAAGCAACTCTCAGAGGAATTATTGTCAACTAAGAGTAGGTTTGCAACATTGATGGGTATCCCTAATCTATTAATATGGTCGGAATTGACCAACGGGACTGGGTAACTCACGTGCTACTCTGACACTAAGCCAAGTAATAATTATGCATAACATTGTCATGGCCTTATCAATGTCTAGATAAATTTTTTTATGTTAACTAATCGAAGAGAATAGAACCGTGTACAGTTGCAGCTATCCATAAGTCGTTTGTGTTCGGCATCATTGAGCTCCTTGCGGACACGACACTCTTCATCTGGTCCACCGCAGTAGCTTGGGAAGGAAAAATAAGCAACACCGTTAAGTTTTATTTTGCAGCTAATTTAGTCATGTTACGACTGATTAGGAAGAATTTTACCGTTGAATATTTACGGAGATGGATAACCGCTTTTGGGAATTCAAGTCATTGGGGGCCTATCACTGGTGTAGACACATTAACCAGACATTAACGTTCTTAAATGATAGGCTTTTCAGATCCTCTAGTGACCTCGTATTCATTTCACCGAAGCTAATAATTTAGTCATCTAGCGATGGAAATGACATCTGTCAAAATCTACATACAACTCACAATGCCTCGGCACATGCCCTGTCCTTTGGGAAAACGGGCCTATCATCCAGGTAGGTTAATTCTTTCTACAAGGGAAAGAAGACTCCACTTTTCGATGTGTTGCAAGTCATTCAAAGCGCCTACTCTTAGTTTCACTCACACATTGATTGATGAAATTCTTCCTATAGTACTTCACTTCTCGAACAAAAGGGTTGCCTTGGTTGTAGAGGACCCGCTACAAAGAGGGTAACAAGAAATTAGACCCCATTGAAGAAAAAGGAGGCGGAGGGAGATAAAAAGCAATGGCCTACCAGATTGGGCATTTGAGCAAAGATCTCCTCCAGAACTGCAGAGTTGTCAATCCGGTTCTGCTGAAGATCAACGACAGTCAGAGCTTTGCATTCGCGAAGGTGCAAAATGCCCTCCAGAGTTTCGAGTTTGTTGTGAGAAATGACCAACTTCTTTAGGACTGGTAGCATTGCTATGAAATTCGACACATAACTCATAGCCAAACTGACACTTCTATGTTGATTTTTTTCGCAAAAAAAATCTTTTGCCTTAATAAAACAATAGTATTTAATATCAGTGTGCATTTAAACAATAAGTGAGCATTTCCACCTTACTTGGTGGTATGCAGTTTAGCTCATGCCAACGACGGCATATCCCTAATCGAGATTTCTAGCTATTAATAACACGGACAACGGATCAAGAAATTGAGAAATTTGGCTTTGACAATGTTAGCCCTATGTTTAGGCCGTTCTGATACCCGACCTGGGGCCAAGGGACACACATGACACTCGCAACTTCTGCCATCCAGATCTTCTACTTCATCTTCATGGGGGAATTTATAAATCGAGAAGCCGTGATTATAAAGATGTTGATTTTATTTATTGGATGAGTTTGGCAAGGCATTAGAAAACAAAATCGTCAAACATCTTAAAAGATTTAATTTTGAGCAGAATCGCAAACGGTTAGGCACTTTGTTGTTTGATTCATCAGCCCCAAAAAAATTTACTTCACCTGAAATCCTGGAGAGATTTTAGATCTAAAGGATGGTGGATGCATACATGATTCTCCTAATTAAATATCAAGCGTTCATCATGTTAAAGTTGCATAGAATTGTTTAAAAAGCGGCTGACAGCCAGGTGGAAATCACAATTTTGTCAGAAAATCGGATGATCCACCACTTTAATAAATGATCTTCCTACAGTGCTATTAGACTCACAAAGATTTTCAATTTTTGAAATCATATTATGGCTAACATCCAGAGTGTCCAGGTGGACCATATGGTCGAGGTTTTCGATTTGTCGAATGAGATTCTTCGACATGAAGAGACAACGCATCTCCGTTTGGTATTCTAGTCCTGCAATCTCATCGATCCCGTTGACATCAAGAAAGAGACATCGCAGACCTGTGTAGTCCTCCAAATTCTCAATCCATCCAAAGCCTGCAGGCAAATCACAAATAGCAGAAACCATATTTATTTGCCCCAAAAATCATGCCAAAAAAGCAGGATCAAACCTCGATAGTGCAAGTAGAGAATATCATTAAGGTAGGGCGTTTGGTAGAGTTTTTGTTCTTTGCAAATTTTTCGAAGCACCTCCTTTGTCATTCTAAATAAATGTGAATACATGGAAATGTCAATGTAAATAAAAAAATGCAAAATATTTGGTTTCACCACCCATAATACTACAGAATACCTTAGCGAGTTATGACAAATTATTTAAGCACGTTGTTACAGCAACTTTTATGGAAACTGATTTTTGGCCGACTGTTCGAAATTAGCATTTTCTTACACTGATCCTCAATACTCGATTCGGACGAATTCACAGAAATTAGAGAACTACCTTGGCCACTTATTTCTGGCTGCGTCTTCCTCAGCCGTGAGCATTCGTTTGGGGGGATTCGGCTTGCGTTTTTCTCGATATTCCTCCAAAATTTCAAGCACCGTTTGCTCCGCTTCAACACCTTCGGTGTCCATCTTGACACTTGTGCCATTGTTATCCACCTCGGTTTCAGCCGTAGCATCTGCAATAGTATCGTCACATCCTTGGTCGGCTGTATCAACGGGGGCAATAGGTTTGACCACTTTTTCGTCGAAATTACCATCTACCCCATTTATGGTATCTGCAACTTCATTTGCATCCTCAATTTCATGAGAAACGTCGAATTCAACTGTTTCGACCTGTTGGGAAGTCGCATCGTCCAATTTGCTGATTAATTCCCGGTCTATGGTAACATTTTCTGGCTCATTTAAGTCGTTATTTAAATCTTCAGAAACCGCTTTTTCCTCCATGGAAATGCTTGTATATTTCTCCGTTTCAGTCATGAATTGCTCATCGCTAATAAAATTAACAACGTTTGCTGATTCTGTAGTAAGACCAAATCTATCACTTATTCCACGAAATTCGAACACTTCAGCTTCACTGTCATTGTTGCCAGCATCAACAACGGGCTGGGTGGTCTCAACTTTTTCGACTCCATGAAATTCAACAGGAAATGAGGGAAGGTAGCCGATCTGATCTACTGTGGTCTGATCTTCTTTTGAGGGAGTCGGAGCTGTGCAGACACCACCATGGGTCTCTCTAATGTTGAGATTTACCAAATCTGACGAATTTATGGAACCAAAATTTTGCTTTGGATTTTGAGAAAGGGTAGAGGAAGGAGCTGGTGGCGAATTTCTCAAATAAATGACTGGGTCTGAGGACAAAACTTGAATAGACTTGATAGCGTCGTCTAAGTAGGGCAGAGGATTGTCCAACAAAGGAGATGTTTCTGCAGATAGAGAATACGTCTCGTTGAGGAGCTTCATTGAGGTGTCAGATGTATTAACTAAACCCGTTTCAGCTTCATTGTTGCAATCCTGGAAAGAGAGTTCAACTGGAACTTCCGGAACAAGTTGGGATGAATTACATTTTATATCCTCTACGGCATCGAAGAAGGTCTCTTCGAGTGCTGTCGAAAATGACACTTGCTCAGTATCACTACTCATTCCTAAAATTTACGAAATTAAAATTTTCTTCACTAGTGACAAAACTACTCATTAAAAATAACTTCGAAAAACTAGTAATTACAAATCTAAGAAAAACGTGAGGTAGCGTTAGAATCGGACTTTTAAAAAAATTTATACGAAAATCGACTCATGTACAAGATCCGCACCGATTTAAAAAAGTGGCTATTTTACATTTCTCACTGATGTTGTAAATTCGGTTATAATAACGGGGCCTAGATAACGGTCTTCGGCAATAGAATATGGCTATACACACACGATGGTGGGGGATGGCATACTTCGACCAAGTACGTATCCATCAAAATTTAACAGAAAGAATACTGCATGGGTTGTTGGAAAATATGGGAACGGTGAGTAAGAAAACAGAATGACACCTACATACGATTATTTCTCACTCATCACGATGCAGAAGTTTGCTTCAATACCTACAACTAAAACTGACGAGATATTTTTGTTACGGAATTGATGGTCTACAAAAACAAGCTAAGATGGACGCCATTTCCCACCCTGTTCACTTAATTTGCACGCATTTTTTAAAACACATCCATTATTGTAAAAGAGACTAATTCTTAAAAAAGAAATACCCGAAGTGCAAAGAATACATGAAATTACACTGCTCAGGAAAATTTTGAAATATGCTCTACGGGTATAAATACAACTACCCAATTGCTATCCAGTGATCGTTATGACAATTTTCACGGCAGCACACTTAAAAAAGGCAAGGGACAATATAAACTGGTGGATTTTTACACTTTCTCTAAACTTCACTTTAAAGCGGTAGTTTTTATTATAAGCACCTAACTTGCAGGAGGAAAAGTGCTTTATGGGAGGCGTACGATTATATTTGACATATCTACTATCTCACCATCAAATTGTACAGAGGTGTTGCTCTAGTCTGTACCCAAAACAGATCACGTTTTATGCCTAACTAATGAAATTTGCTCCAATGCTATCCAAATACCCCCATGAAATCAGATTACCGTTCATTTATTAGGGGATCAGACAGAGTAATTTAATTTACCAATTCGTGTCTTCGTTTACAAATTTTGCCGTTTGGTCTATATTTTGGCAAAGGAGCTTGGCAATGCGATCATTACCATTTTCCAGGCATAAAGACGGCACTACAACAAGGAAAACCGGCTCGATTTCTACTCAGAACCAAAAAAGTACGAATATTTTACGTCTTACCGCAGCCTAACCTACTTTTGTGAGTAAGACTGGAATCATGTTATCTTTGTTTTGTTTTATCCCACTGCTTATGTAGGCGTAGGGTCAACGTGCGCCTACGATGGTTGGGGAAACGTGGTCAGAGTGCGCAGAGGGGCGATCCCTGAGTTAGCAGAAACCAGTTAAATTACATTTCGGTCCAAGACTTGGTTTAGATTTGTGGTCCTTGGTATGTTGCACTTTGCGGTTGAAGGTGTCGATTCCCATTCTGCTCTAACCTTAGCAGCACATCTCGGCTTTAATTTCTGACGCATGTTAATTGATGATCATCTCGAGAAATCAAGGCTATTTCCCATTTCTCACTGAGCTCTGGGGTTTTTCCCACTCCATATTCTTTTCTAATATCCAAAGCTGTTATGATGAGCTTTCTATTGTGGCAATGGGCCAAAGTGGAGAGATCGGGATGTTATCTTATTGTGACTGTCACCGTTGTAGATATGACGAGATGGCGAGTGCAGTACGGTGTCTTATCCATGCCGTAATGGCGGTAGTTCATCGCAGCTCTAAGCTTCCATGCGGCACATCACTTTCGACTCGGTGAGTCCCTGTTTTGTTTACTAATGACGAATAATGGATTACCATTCTCATCAACTGGGAATGATTGGGGAGAAACGTCATTTTCTACTTATGGCAATGAGCAACCAACAACAGTGTAACATCCTACCCTTGTTACGGAGTTTTATTTGTTGTTGATAGTGGGAACGAGTTCATATGGCAAGTGACGATTCACAGCAATTCATTGCGGTTTTTTAAAAAGCGATTGTCAGCGCAATGGGCTAGTTGGGAGAACGGCAGCCTAATGAGTTTTGCGGTGCACTGAATGCATTTTCCAGAGATTAGAGACGTTTATCTGTGCCTCTCATAACCGTCATGCAATACTATGACACTGTGCATGCTCACTTTTTTTCCTATCATCTATCTCCCCTGCTGCCCGTCTCTACTTCTCTTTAGCTATCTGTCTCGCGTCTATTTATCTGTAGAAACTCGTGGTAAACTCCTCATTGCTTCCACAAGTATGTCCAAGCAGAAATTGTGAATTTTCTGGTTAGTTGCATTTTCTGTGTGCTCATTGCTGATTTGCGCTAACGTCCTGAACAATGTGAGAAGGTGCATGGGTTGGGTACTGTTTGGTTTCTGCAATTTTTGCGACCTGCCTTTCGGTCCACACGTGCTGATGGTGGTAGCAAAGGTCAGAGGGGAGGAGAGAATTTTGCCTTTAGAATGAAATTGCTGTAGTTAATGAGATTTGACGGTTTGGTTTCATTTAACTTGTCTGTCAGTAGCAACAAATGTCGTTTCATTCAAATGGTGAAATTCCATGCATTGCTTTATGTTCTGTTTTCAAGGTGGCCGTCACACGGGACAACCAGAATGTAGTGTTCCACTTAGCGATTGTTTACTGGAAGTAAGGTGTCAAAGGCAACCTCGCCTCTAGCTATATTTCGCGTGCAGCAAAGTTATAGTGCACAGTTTTGGAACATGAGGAAAGTAGTGACCGTGCCATGAGCATAGTAACGAGTAATCTAGCACATTTACTACGAGATTTGGGTATTAGGTGTTGAAGTGGTCGATTGATTTGCCTCTTGCGACAACACCTCCACTTACGCTGACTGTGAGCCCACCGACTCAGTATTTGTGTGCACATCATTCCTTTTTTCAAAAATTTTACTTATATGTATTTTATCATACACATCTATATACATACACACAGTCGCCCACATTTTTTCACATATGCATGCTTACAAGGATACATGCGTATGCAAATGCATGTGCACGAGGACATGTATGAGTGTGTATGCACAGAGGTACTCCTTGATTCACTGATGGATGTGACTTAGGAGTCATTGGAGGAGCCGGAAGGTTGCTGTAGAATTTACACTTTCTGTGACAATCTACCATTAGGTGCTGGAAGCTAGACGGCTTCATTGGGACTCGAAAACCTCCACACTGACATTGAGTGGACGATATGTCCACGTGGAAGGGAAACTTGCCAATCACATAATTTGGTTTCTGAGGAAGGCGTGCATTGAGTGATACAAGAAGTAGAAGTGAGAGGCGGAAAGAGAAGAGACGTGAAGTGTTTACGCGCCTGTCATTTATGATGAGATAAACTTGCATTTTGTGGGAAGGGATGCTCTCCTGGTTACATCTTTCAAATAATCACTGCCGTTGGTTAGACTTCCCACTCGGAAGCGATGTACATGTTCCTCTTATATTTGAAGTCAAAGCTAGGGAATATGCACAATCCCATTTGGATGCTGCCCTTCCTTCAAGACTTTCGGGCTCCACGCAATGGGACGTCAATGTAAGCTCCCACCTACTTCAGTATTGACTACTTCACAGTCACAATACCCACTCACATACACATCTAAGATGAAGGAGGTCAATTTACGTTGTGAATTTGTTACCTTGAATTACTTATGCATAGTAGTGGAATCCACCTTCCTCAATACCGCATAGTGCCTTACTTGATGACAGGTGAGAAGGAAGTGGCACGTCAGGTAGGTGAATGGACTGAGTAGGAGACGGAGAACTAATTGTCATTTCTGCTGGCATCTCGTTTCTCTCTCCTCCACTTACTTGATGCACGGCTTCCTTTTATGTTCTCAAATGGCGTACTATGTGGTAGCGTGGAAGGCAGATCTTCGTTCTGCAAGTAATTATTCGAATGAAGAGGAAGCAAGACTCTGATTGACCTCTTCTACGATGATATAGACGCTCCCTTACAGTGTTACCTCTGCCTCCAGAATACACTTAACTATTGCACAACAAGCGAGTTGGGAGTTAATATGACTTTGTCAGTACTGTTTTATTGTATTTTGGATTCATGACTTGTCTGTACGACTACTTGCCCGCATTGCTAGCTTGCTTTCTCATTTACTTGCATTGCTGGAAGGACATTACCAGCACATCCGTGCGAACCATACACTGCGTGTAGGCAGATGTGAATACCTATCAAGGCGGCATGTACCAAGTAGAGGCTGGAAGGATTTGCCCTCTTGGCAACCAAAACATCATGTCGGTGTACATTTCTCACCTGACCAATGAGCACCTGATGCAGATGAACAATTGGACACAAACACTTGTGGCATCTACTATCCGATCATTCTTAGCTGTCATACTTGCTCATGCATTTCTATTTTATTCTGTTTTCATTTGATTTACTCCACCCTAAGTTAAAGTGCTTTCATCTGCTTTAATTGACTTTGTTTTGCTCTACCTTATACTTATATGGAATGGTGGGGATTGCTGCGAGTTTGTCTGAAATTGGCTTCCTTGTGAGCTCCTATGCTGAAGTGACATGGCGAGAAATCTGACGCTGAAGTAAATAAGTTTGTTGGTTGCTTCAACGTGTTGAAAATCGGTTGTAATATTTCATTAAGGTACTAAGAGTGCACACCAACTCGCAGCAGTGTGCCTGGAGGCATGAGTTTGGGCACCACTGGGAAAGTTGCCACTGAAAGTCAAGGCGAATTAGAGTTAATGGTTGACATTGAGACTAGGTGCCTATTGGTTGGAAATAGACCCGCTTGCTTAACAGCAGTTGCTTTGACGTTGTCACTCAGAATTGGGAATTGGAAGTAGTCCTGATACACCTCCGGCTGGCCAAAAACACGAGTTTGTCAGTGCGTCGGGTAATTCACGCTTCAAAGTCTAGTGTAAGGGATTGTTCAGGTTTAAGTACCTCTTAAATGCAACATTTCACTGAAAGGGAGTAAAAGGGTCTGATTGAGTTTGATTCGTATTCGAGTAGAGAAAGGTGAAATGACAAAATAAGGAGTGATGGGGACATATTTGTGGATCAGTTGCACCTGCACGGATCCCACGGCTGGCACTATATTTCGTGGATTTTAGGCAAACCATTAGATCTGTCGGTATTTGTGTTCTCGATGTTTGAGAAAGCACCCTCTAGTGGGTTCGCATGTCGGCTATTTTGGGGTGGCGTTTCAACATTTTACTCCACAGCACCTTGGGATGCTACATTTTCAGGGCTGACTCGTTGCAATACACCAGAATGGACGGCTTCCACACTTCACACTTCTTATAAAACTGCCTGTTCAACTATACCAAGACACGGAATCTGCTGATTCGACCACGACTTGGGAAGACCGTGGGCCACCAAGTCCGATCGCGGAGCCCAAATAGATGCACCTCGCCCAAACCATCAATCTGGTCATGCTGTTGCTCTACTGAATGACGGAGCACAAGAAACTCTGCCTGATGGTTGGGTGGGGCCGATGATAACCGAGGCAGCAGCGGTGCGATTCATCCCCAAACAACACATTGTTCGTCAGGGAATGATATGACCTGCATTCTGCAACATTTGAGGCTTTCGGCGTGCTTCAAACGTTGATTGGTTGGTTAAGGCTTTAAAATGGAAGCATCAACCCTACTCCTCCACTTGGAAGTGGATCAGCATCAATTTGCATTTAGCCGCCTTCATTAAAGGCAACTCAGTGAAATCAACAACGGGCTACTAGTGTTGGATGAAAAGAGCAAATTCTATGATTTCCATGGCTCCATCGAGAGTACGAACATGCCTCTATTTTCACCTTATCCTTGTACACCCCAACGAGCCTCATCCACAAAATTCACGAGGCATTTAGAGGTCGACGTATTGCAGAGACCCTTTACTGTGGATCATCTTCTAACCCCCCCCCCCCCCCACCAATTCGCCTTGAACTGCTTAGCATGGCACCGTGTCTCGCTTCACCGCAACGCAAAACAACACGAATCGCAGGTCTACTGATTACTTGACCTGGTTGGCAAGGGTTTCAGCATTCTCGATGGCGATTTTCGCAAGGAGAGCCCATCAGTCAACATTTCGGTGGGCATCACTTGGATCAGCTCCAAACCTCGTTGCTGCCGCCACTACTGCTGATAATAATGATGATGCTGCCACGGAAGTCAACCCGCCCCTCACGTTTTCAAATTGAAACCAATAGCTACTTTTTGAAAGAACCCATATATGGAAAATTTTTATGACAACATCTAAATGCTAAACATCATTTGAAATCAAACAAGTGGAGATTTGACGGATTTATCAAAAGATTACGAACTTCATTCCACAGTTGGTGCGGACGGCTTCAACACTGAAGGTGCTGTGTTTCTCCACGCTTAGCCTTTTTAATTCGAGCACAGCAAAATGTGGTGTAAAATCTTTTTTTTTAGGGCATCTCATTTAATTTGGCCTGACAGTGAAGTAACGTTTAAAGTTGTAAATTTTACGAGTCAGTCGATCGTCGCAACTTTGACACAAATACGGATCGCAGAATCCTCGGCAGGTAATGTTTTGACCAGGAAGAATCCGACAAGGTGCGCCAATATCCAGCTACTACTGAATGGGATTGTTTGCCAGGAAAGGGGTTAATTACAAATAAAAAAATTCTACTTTACAGAGAAAATGGAGTTTTGCCGTCTATACTGCTATCGAGCTACACGAGCACACCTGATTTAGCAACATGACAATTTTGCCCCCAAACGACTGACATACATGTTGTTTGGAATTAGAAGTAGTAATGTGCGACGCATCATAAATAGTGCCTCACATAATTCTGTTGAATGCAACATTCCAACACAAAAATTTTGCATTATTTTGCGGGTCCGAGGTCCGAAGCCTCCTTGGTCTTGGCTGTCACAAGCCGCCTACTAGTTACTGCAGACCGCATGACCTCCTCTGCGGCCCGCACTGACTGCAGCACAAGTATAGCTTTTGAAGGCTCCAGAGAAGACTCGAAGCGAACAAAATGTGCGGCAAGCAGGCAATGCCAAATGAGTTAATCTGAACCCAACCATTATGTCCAGCCAATGGGCGTAAATTCCATTAGCACTGAAGAAAACCCACTGACAATACAAAGATGCAAGTGCATTGCGATGCATTCAGGTGAAGTCAAGTAGTGTGAGACGCTCGTGCCTATTGACTCAAAGAAAGCTGTAGTTGCCATACGAAGATAATTCTTCCTCTTGAAGGCGTTCAATGGCGTCCTTCCTCATGTAGATGCGGTCCCTGTAGAAACCGTAGCTGTGAGCTGGATGACCGTTTCCAGTGGACGGCACAGGTAGTTGGCGTCCATCCTGATTTCAATGTGTATAAAAATGAATCAAGTAGGAGTCAACAAGTTCAACTCTTTCATGAGGGTCTCTAAGAATACGGGGGTCCGTGGGTATCTGTGACGACATTCAAACAACTCGAGGGAAATGCAGTGTCATCCGAGATATGGATATTGTGTAAAAGAGGACTACAGGGTCATACTGGATGAGCCCTAACCTTTAATTCGTGGTGCTAAATTGTCGCTCGTGGAGTAAGAAAGTCACTAAGGGCAATTGCTTTGTTCTTACCACTTTTAAACCACTTCTGGTATTTGTCATGGCCTTTCCTCTGTTTTGCCTAGCTGAAACAAGAGGAGGAGGAACGTGTAAGTGAACAGAACAAAAAAGGTTTGCCTTCATTTCAAAGCCACTCGGACTTGTAACTTTTGCGCTCCCAAAGCCATTCATTTCAACAAAGAAGACGCGTCTGCACATAATCATTATTCTGATCATTTTGGAGACTCTTGCACTGTCTCCATGGTGTTCAAAATTTACAACACGAATGTCCAACTGGACACGTAATGAAGACAGGAAAGATGGCCTGCTAAACGACTAGGCATTGCTGAACTCTAATGCCCTCAACTTGGCAGCCGAGGTAAAATGAGATAAAGCTGAAGGTATAAAGACAAACCCATAATGTGCAAACACTGTCTTCCGTGCCATTCCATCCAGGCTCCTCTTCGACAAGAATTGGAGCAGAACAACACCAGCCGACATCGTCGACATGGAGAGAGGTTGACACCCAATGATCGCCCACAATGGAAGCAGAATTGTAGCTCATTTCTACAAAATTGATTTGATGGATGGGTGTGAATCAAATAACTGCCAACTTCCGAGGGGCTATCAGAATGCGAGCACTCACATTTCCATGAGGCTGCCAGCATGGTTCAAATCTAAAGGCAAATACAATCAAAACTGTCTTATTAACGCTGTCAGAATATTTTAAAAAAGGTCTTAATAGAATCATCACTCCATCATCTGTCAATAGTGATTAAGCCATCTGCAACCCTCAAACTGCCTCGTGAATTTCTTCGCTCCTCTATAATACTGCTTACCTTGAACGCGCCTCCACGTTTCACTCGCAAAAGCTGATTTTCTCAGTTCTGCAGCTAGCAAATCCAAAATGCGTTGTCGTTGTTGCAAGATGTGACGCTTGGCAGGATCACCCAACACCTTCTTCTCAACTCGCGTGTAGACATGCAACACGTAGTCCACAATGTTACCTGCAAAATCACTGAAAAAATTCAGCTACTACTGAGCAGATTTCAGCAAGATTTGATTAATCGTTGAGGAGATACCTTCGACCAGTTCGTAGGGCATGGTGATACGATGATTGAGGAGACCCGAAGGGCAGTGGGCAATGAGTTGTGAGAGGAGAGACAACCGACTGTCGAAAGTGCGAACGTGCTCGAAGATGGGGTGCAGGAGCACGCACAGAGAAGAGCCAAGTCCATGTGTCAGGCGCATTCCTACTTTCGTTTGTGGATAGGTCAGCAGAAGTGAGACGATCTATCGTGCAATGAGAGGCGGACCGTCATAAATGTGGGTGGAGGTAGACTCCTGTTTATCTTGTCTGATGCTGTGCATGTTTAAGGGACAATAGCGACTAGAGGGCAAATACGAAGCTGTTAGACGAGTGATGCTGATTTGTGAATGCCACAACTAAGGCGCTGTGAAACCTCATTAGTTAGACATTGATAGCTTTCGCCAACTGGATTGACAAGGTGGTTTGATTTGCTCACCTCATCATTACCACAGGCCAGTGCTAGGCTGAGAGCGCAGTGACCATTGCAGAGAAGGTTGGCATCGGCACTGTGATGTATCAACAATTTCACTATCTCCGTGGCGTGCTAAAAATCAAAGGATGGAGGTACCATGAGTAAACAGAAGGCTACGACTCCTTTTACAACAAGAAAGTGGCCAATCAACCTGTTTGTCGTAGGTCTTTGCGCATGCGAGATGCAATGCGGTCCTGCCACCGTCACACGTGGAGGTCGACCAGGTTGATTTCTTGCCCTGAAACAGCAAAAGTCGGATGTTGTGATTTAACCAAGTTGGCTGGAAGGAGTTTATATATCAAAATAAAAAGGAAATTGATGATTTGCTTTTCCATTTTATAGGTTGGACCTCAATGAAATACCCAGATAGTTAAAGAAAACAGTGGTGGCTAATGCGAACTCAACGTGTTTTCACAGCATGATTTCCGAATAAAACTTTATCTTAAATTATTTAATGCCTGTTTTTAACTAAATCGGACATCAGAGCCTCAACTACTTACGGAAACTACACACATACTTTCGCTTCCGTCTAAAATAGTCTTCGTGGAAGAAACTGGAAAGCAATTTTACCTCAATATCAACGAGAAAGCTGGCATCAGGCAGAGCTCTCAAATTGGGATTCGCTCCTCTCTGAAGAAGCATTTGTGTCAGCTGGACGCCTACGGCGCCGGGCAGAACCACGGCGAAATGTAACGCCGTGAGTCCACCAGCACTTGTCGTATAGATGTTTCCGTGGTTGTCGGTGAATGTGGTCTGAAGAAGGAAATGAAGATTGTTTAGCCTAAGCACAAAATCTGAAAATGTTTCACTGAATACTGGGTAAGTGCCACAGCTTCTACTCATAAATGATAGTACATACGTTTTATTAAATAATGAGGAGGAGATACTGTATTGTAAAAGAGGTAGAATTGGATGATATACTCCTACGGTCGATGTGCTCCTTATTCTGCATCCTTACTTGGCCTTTTGGTTTAGTCGCTTCCTCTAGGTCACCCGCCTATGTGATTAAAAACTTAATAAGGAACGAAGGGCACAAAATCCTTGGCCTCTTCTTGAATCCATTCTTTACATTTGGAGAAACGCTTGCATTGGTGAATCTTGCGCCATCCCATCTGCATAATCTAACATTCAGAATAGACATTTCTGCTGTACGATTTAACGGCAAACTGATAAGAATTGGACCCTTGTGAATGCAAGTGGAGAGAAGTTGAAGATCGCGAGTTGAGCCGATCAGGTGGTCCTCAAGGGAATCACTCAAAGTTACTGCTTGACACATGTTGGTCCACAGAGTGGTATTGCAGCCAAGGGTTAATTAGTCTGGCAAAAAATGTAACCCACTAAGCATTAGGAAGGAATTGCTACATCTTCCACCAGTGCTTCTTATGCACGCTGCTCCGTCTTCTACCTGAACCTCCAGTTCATAGGTATGAAGCACACTTAATTGGAAGCAAATGAATTTGATTAAAGAGCAAAATCAAGGAAAGAGATGTTGACATCATGTTAGAACATTCAAACATTTGAACCGTGGTTGTCAACTGTCTCTGAGAGCACGTTGACGAATAAGCCAATCTTGAGATCTAACAATAAAATCCTCTTTCTATTTATTCTTTGAACTACCTGTCTCTCTAACGTAGGTGACTCCACTTTAGTACCTCCACTGCATGCTAAGTCAAGCAATACTGACACAAGGGAATGTAGAGTTTGTGGGAGAAACACGCACCTCAGACATCGTGACAGAGTGCGGTGGAATGCGGATGTTGGGATCTGCATCAAAGTGCAGCAACAGTCGGGATAACTCCACATCTCCAGCTCGAGCTGCAGCTATCAACGGAGGCAGAGGCTGTATAGCAATGTTTGGGTTGGCGCCGTGCTGCAGGAGTAGTAGCATCGTCTTTAGGCGTGCTCTAATCCTACAAGCATTAAAAGAAAGCGATCAAAGTGAAGATAATGTAATGAGAAATATATGCCCTCCAGCCAAACTATCGTCCAATCACAAGTCTTACACAACACCGAGGAGGTTTAAGATGAGCTGCAAAAGCACTAAGATGGAAGTGGGTCTCAGGTCTACCGCCCCTTTAAAGCACCATTTACTCTGATTTAGAGGGGAGGAACTAGTGCTTCTGCAGACCCATGGCGTTATGTAGGTATGAAGACCAATCCTATTAATGTTAAACAGCGATGTAACAAAGCATTTACCTTGATTAATTTAAACACGCAATATTCATTTAATTTGTAAGGTCAGAGTAGGTTTTTTAAGCTACTCGAGGTGATAAAGCATTACCGAATGCTTTTTCTTATTTCCTTGAGATCCGCCTGTGTCACCTGAGTTGCCTTCGTCAAGGCCGAGCTTCTACAAGGTCGCTTGGACTTACGGCTCACTAAACCTCCAGGCGTAGGCATCTCAGTGATATCCCACGTAAGTGCTTTGAGATACTAGGACGGGAAAAAAGGGCCAGACAGGGTCCGAATGCTACCAGATAGGGAGAGGGGGGCAGCGGACAGTCAAATTGTGCCTTCTAGTTCAACCAACGACTCTCCAATTCACAGTCACCCATGGCGTTGGTGAGTAAGATATCTTGTTCATTAAAGAATCGAACTTAATAACCTTCATTTCCTCATCTAGTATAAAATTGGCTATTTTTCATGTCAGCTGCGGCAATTCATTTTGTTGATCAGCACAATGAAGTGCATGCAAGCTTTAGTACTTTGTTTGTCATCTATGCGGGTTGTGTAGCAGCCCATCCTCTAAATTCCGACATCCATTTACAAAGTCTAGGGCAATTCTGGTGTCATTCCTCTTCACTTTGCTTCAGAGGCCACTCCATTGACTCCTGGAGTTTAGTTTAGTATTGCACTGTTGGATAGGGAGTGGAGAGAGATCCTCTGTCACGTTGTGCTGTTATTTACAACAGGAGCAAATTCCTTATCGTTTCACGCTTTGAATAAGGTTTTTGGTATACACAGCAGTGCAACACCTGAAATTTACCCTTTTCTGCATCGCAAATAGCTTACCTTTCTTTGTCAAGGTGTGTACTCATATGCCACGACTCAGTGGTCGAGAGATGGATGGATGATGGTGTATTTTGCAAGTACTCGGTAGAATGAATTGTTCTAGGGTTAGTCCTGCCACACAAATAGTGATCAACCTCTCAAAGGACATAAAAGCACTTAGGTTCCGGGTCGTAATATCATTACCGCCGTCGCATAGCCGCTTGAACTTTCGTGGCCAGATGATGAATAAGTAGACTGCTAATAAAAGCGGTAACATTGCATCTGTGGTGATGATGTTGGTGTTGGCGTGGCTGCACGTCCACTCGATGCGAAGTGATGGACCAATGACTAAAGACAGCGAGTCTGTAAGGTTGATAAAAAGTCGTCACATCTCGGTGTGCAAGTTGCGGTCATGGGATGGAATAGCTGTGTCTGTCCAGACTTGCTCAAACCAAATGGTATTGATGGCATAACTTTGCAAGACAAATGCATGCATGGACACGGGCGGTATGCAACACTCACCAAATGCCTCAAGCTTCCATTTGTCCCACACAAGGAAGGCTGAACCAGATGCGGCAGGACAACTGATAGCGAGAAGTGAAGGCAGATAATGGTTCACGAGTAGGCATTTGAGTTGCTGCCATCCTTGACACACCCAATCCACCAACAAACCACTTGCGATTGTGTGCATTTTAAGGGAGATTTGACCTTTACTTTTGTCTCAAAATCGCTGTAAGTTTACTTCAAATGCCAGCAAAGTAAGCGCCGATTCGTTTGTGAGTCTGGTTAAGCATCTTGTCTACTCAACAAGAACCTAACTTGTCTCTCCACTCAGACGTGTTGGAGTGATGCCGTAGTGGGCGAGATCAATTACTCACGTTGATGTCCCAATCAACCCCACAAAGTCCTGCCTTTACTTACCCATGCGAACAAGCAAAAGGGGTAAGTGCTCCCTCCTCACTGCTTTCCCATCAGCTTACCTGGTTGCATGACATGTACTTGTCAAATCGCGGAGAATTCGCAACATGGTCCACACGTTCACGGGTGTGACTGAAGCAGTAACCGTATGCAAACCAACTTACAGAAGTGTTTTTTGATACTGTAGGACACCCGTCTCGATGTAGCCCTCTACAAGGCAATAGAGATGACTCCTGCAAGTCGTCTTCTTTGTGACAGATAGTGTTGACATGCATCCAAAATTCCAGTTGTGCTCAAGCCTAAGCCAAATTCTATCTCAAACTTGTGGCTACAGTGCATTTAATGTAGTCGGTCTAAATTAACTTCTTGAAGGCTGACAAATGCTAGACCAAGTTTACCATCATCAGATCTGTGGATTTTGTAGTCATCGTCACCGCCACCGCAATCTTCATCATTTGACGCTGGAGATTCACTGGCGTCATAGCCCAACAACCAAACCAGCTCCGCTCGATTGTAAACACCAGAGGAGGTCTGACCAATGCCCAGTTCTATTAAGTGGTAACCGTCACTATGCTCCGACGAATGCCTTTCCAGGTAGAAGAGGGTGCACAGTGTGATGGGTCTCATTCCGTTTACCATCGACGCGTTAGGATCCGCTCCGTAAGATAGAAGGAAATCCACCACCTCAACACTCTGATTCGCCTAAGTTAAGGTTTGGATGGTTGCAGGATAATGCATTTAAAAATTTCGTCTTTTGTTTAATTGAAACATTTGCAAGGACTTTGTAAATGATTAAATTCAAGTTTGCTTAGCGTTTGTGCTAATGCAAGTCACTTTTGAAGTCTGCTAACTCACTGAAGCCACATGAAGCGGTGTGATGCCGTACATATCACTCAAACTGACGTCATATCTCAGGGGATGTCCTTCACTTATCAGAAGCCTGCACGAAAATTCGAGTGTGTTGGTAAGAATTTGCCTGATGCTGTGGAGATCATTGCATTCAGCAGCACAATACAACCTCTCCACTACTCTAGTAATTGGCCCGTTGCAGTTGACTTCACGATTGAGAATCCTGGCAAGATATGCAGCAGAGAAGGTAGTTTTGGACAAGGCTGCCACACAGGAAAGAAGATGCAATGCAGGGGCAATTCTCCTGCAGTCCGATGGACTACAAAGAGGGATATTTTGGATGGCGAATAGATTATGTGAGGAGAATATATGTGTGTTAACGAATGACTCACTCGTCAGGGTCATTCTCGACTGCGAGATCTATGCAGTCACCATTCTTACGAATAAAGAACACAAGTGGAAGTTCGCTGAACTCTTTTGAGTGGTCATTGCTACACTCATCAGGTGACTAAAATGACTTATTGAAACAGGTCCTGCACATACCCGTCTGCGGCCCATAGAAGGCAGTGACGCCGCTAAGTCCGGGATGGTAAATATCTCCTCTTTGGCAAACTTACTATTCTCAATGAGGCATCGAGTAAAAACTGGTGATTGAAAGGACTTTATCTGGCTTAGAATGGACGTGCTGACTTTTATGAGGCTATTCGCTTTCCATAGACCTATGTCGATTTCACTGTTACCTCGAATTGAAATGCCCAATCCGGAACGTTCATCGGCTTTGTAGAATCCCTAGGAGTTTTTTTTGAAGGAATTATGAGTTTGTTTACCATGAACATGTGGTCATTTGGGAAGAGGGAAATGCCAATGCCTTGACGGAGGCCTTTGCAAAATGTCCCAACATAGCCGTAGGAAGGAGTATTCAATGTGCCGAATCCATGGAGCTGACCACTGAGAAGTGCTCCCACATAGGTCTAAGAACAGTTCCTTTCTGTTACATTTACGGTTGCAAGACGAGTATGTGATTTAGCGAAACGCACAATAAAATGAAGTTAAACTCTTAACACTTTTACAAGGGTGGGACTCACCTCACCGTTAGATTGCTGCACTGTGCTGCAAGATATTTTGGTTTCAGGTTCTTCAGACATTTGAAAGTCACCTGATTTTTTATCGCAATCTATTTGTAAATAAACAGAGTAGGATTCCAGCTTATCTCCACACCCTTGGCAAAGATAACGGTACAATCCAAGTGGATTCGAAACTGCTATTTTTCATTAGCAAAGATCGAGTCAAAGGTTAAGAATAGGCATGTATACCGAATAATTTCTGACTAAGTTGTGAACTTTTAAGGAGTATTTTTGAAAACTTATGAAGCATATTAAACAAGTGGACAAAGTTTAGTAATACTCAGATTTAAAAAGCACGTTTTATTAGTTACATGCAATACAATCCTTCGGTGGTCCCAAATTGATCCTATTAAATGTTTTCTTACGGCCGTAAGAGGGTATTCTTCAAATAATCAATTCCACTTTATTAAACGCGGCCAGTTTCCCTGATTTTTGAAACACTTGTATCCTTAGCTCTGTTTTTTTGCGTCCATTTAAATGCGCTTACATTTTGAATGAAAGAATGGTGCTCCTACTTTTGAAATTGACGAAGGGACGAAGAATTGGAAACGGTGCTGGTTACACTTAGGCCTACAAATTTACTGCTGTTGGGTAATTATAACAAGCATCTTAGTCCAAAATAGGTGTTACTTTAATAACTTTGGTTATTTTGCATTATTTTTCTCAAGAGTGGCACTATCAGACTTTTAAATAGGCTCCTCTCATCATCGGTGTTAACTTTTGAATAAATTTGATAACAATTGCAGTATGCATTTGAAACTTTGATTTTGCCACTTTTTTATAACATTCGTGTTTACGTAATGTATATGAGTGACTTGGCTAGAGTTGAAAATGTGTCAAATTTTTGGCTTACACTTATTTGTTTCGTATTGCACCGCACATTTCCAAATAAGACTGATTTGTAAGGAAATTGGCCAGTAGTTATGTAAATGACTTTTGATGGTTAAAGTGGATTGCGAAAGCATAATGCCAGTAAAACGAAGGCAAATGATTTAGCAATACGTCTTATTTAATGTTCCACCCCCTAGCACATAGCACGGACACAAGCAATGTCGCTACTACAATGTAATACGATGGTTGTCTCTCCCTCAGTATTGGCGAAGCGCCACTTTTTCGAATTGGCCTTATTGTGTCACGCTGGGTTGGCTGGCCTTAGGGCAATGCCAGTAGCCCAAATACCTTCTCTGTATTGAATGCATAGGTACTACCTGAGCATTATGCCTTCTTTCGTCTTCAGGGAAGTCTTGAGACTCTAAAATGGTTTAGCTACGTAGTTAAGATTTTTGTGTTGGGGAATTTCGCCAATTCTCGTATGTTCGCAACACATCGCCGCCAATTTACGCTGAGCCAGAAGCACATTCACCCCACTCTTCCTAAAATCACTCGCTTACTTCTTGTTACTGCACATAGGATAACAATATGGATGGTTCCTGTGAAGCAGTTAGTACACATATCCATCAACGCACTAATCAAACCACCTCTGACCGGTGAATTGTAATTTTTCAGGTGTGCGTGATGTGATTTGGCAATCGTTCCTGTAATTAATAAAATAAATGTGCGAGACCATGCAAAGGGGCTACGTTTGGAAAATGGATATGAAGGAGAGCTTGGCTTACATTAAATTCACCAAAATGTCTAGGACCCATTATTAAAGGTCTGGTTTTGAGACACGGCCATCTGTCACCTTGGTCAACTTGGTGGTCCGCCTCATTATTTGCAACGTCATGTTGCCTCAACCAATGATTTTTGTGCTGAGAAAGGACTCTTGATTAAGACAGGCGTCACATTCACTCGCGAATGTGTGCTCTGCATCAAGTTATAATGGAAATCGCTCTTGAGTTAACCATTTAGACTCATTCAGTTATACTACTTGTTTCTTGTCAATAGCAAGGAGTTTGTGCCACAAGGTGATGTAAGAGAGGATAGGGCATGAGAATGCGTAAAGAATACAACTACGATTGCGACTCCAAATCCGCTTTGATTGATACATAAATAAGGCTTTAGCCGATTTGTCTCCATAACGTTTAGCCTTAAACGAATCTGGAAGCAGTTGCTATGACAATTACATGTGGCTGCCCAATCCCACTTGCAATGGTTCAGTTTATGCAGTAATTAAAGCTCAAAGTTGTTTTCATTCTAAAACCCTACTATTTTAGATAGTAATGTGATTAAGGGCTACATGTGCTGATGATGATCTTGACAATGACAACTGACTGATGTGGTGGCTTCGATGTATCTTGTGACCAGAAATTGGCGTAGCACCCAGTGCTGAAGTGATGCAGCATAAATGGTGGGATGAAGAAAGTTGGTCCGAGGCGGCAAGAGTGCCGGATCGCAGGGAGAACTGAGCCCACAAGTGGCTGAGGTGTGTGTCATATGTGCTAAGTAGCCCAACCCCCAGACCGACACGTGTGCGCGCTTTTGCAGACACTCTTCTACTTCTACTGCTCTCAGCAATTCAACAGCGTGGGTGTTTGTGATACTGTCACATGCTATTCTGTTCGTGCAGCAAGTGGTAGTGTGCGTGTAAAATTAATGGTTTCGAAATAGAAGTATGCTTGTAAAATCGCGCGCACAGGAACACGTGGAGGTTAGTCTACTCCGTGGCATTAATGCCTTTGTCATGTCTCTTGTGAGCTCGCTCAACCCATCCATCTGACGCTTTTGCGTCCTTGGGCTAACTTCCCAAATCACTCCTCTTCCCGCTTGGTTGCTACAGCAACATCCAGTTACCAACACACTCCAATACTCAACCGTGGCGTTTGCTTGACAATACCAATGCAATTCAGAGCTGGAGGCACACATGCAGTGCGACTTGAGGCATGTGTTGAGAGATAGCAACAGTGCGTTGTATTTTCTTCAAATCTGCAAATCACAGCCTTGAAATTATGCTCTTTGCTATCAGCTTCACTGTTTGTGCATTCCAGCACATCTTGCCACATCATTCCAAATGCTCGAGACACATCGGCCTCGGGAATTACCTAACCTGCAAATGTTCGAACAGCATCTCCTCAACCCCGCATAGGAAATCAAGGTCGTCACCGTCACTGAGGCATAATCCAGCACCTTCAAATGGCTGGCAGGATGAAGACGCCATTTGTGGCACCAGCAGGGAAGATGTGTATTGCATCTGCTGCATGTGACTAATGCTGTTAAGACATCAGGAGGAAGAGCGCCTCCCAAGTTTCCTGTTTTTGATCACTTGCAATTACGTCTGACAGTCGCTTCATACACATGGCTTGCGCACATTCGAATTTCCATCTGCCTTTTCACTACACCCCTTTTAGGCAAAGAATCAGAACGCACGAAGAGGTAAGAGGGAGCTCTATGTAGACACATATGCTGAGTAGCTGACCTGAATGTCTCTGTGAACCGGAAAGATTGACTGACTAGCAAAGGACAAGGCGTTTAATGCTGGTATCGTAAAGTGTACAATGCAAAGGTAAGAGGAGGACCATGAATATGTTTTAAATAAGGGAATCAAGTGAGAGGTAGACGTGATCTTCGTGTGATAGAGGCAAAGACAACTGGACAATGAATGATGAGTGGAACTAAAGGATGTCGACGATTTCCAGCGTAGCTGCTAAGGCACGGATTCACGTGGATGCTGCTACTTATTTGTATTGATGATGATAAACTCCATCATCACGATGTCATGGATATCTTTGCCTTAGGAGTGGGTTGAGAGTTAGTTTCCCCTCCCTTATTCACTCGTTTCTCATTCTAGACGAGTTGCTTCCTTTTCACGCCACCACAAGTAATGCACCACATGGTGTGGAGGAAGGCACATTCTCCTGCTCTTTACAATATTTTCAATCAACAAAATCACATCTGGCATTAACATCCTTCGACTTAGATGTGCGTATCTGTGTCTGTAAGTGGGTGCGTGTTATGTGTGAGAGTTAACGATAACTTCCTCACTTAAAGGCAATGATATGACATGCACCAACAATCTGAAGGCTTGCACGGCCTCAGAAATTTTCGCAGCTCTCATGTACAAATGGCGTGTCATCATTTACGATAGCTTTTGCGGGGTTCCAGGGTCGCGTGGATGGTAGAGGCCTGATAAGTACGTCTTCATTGGCGTCAATAAGCCTGGTCAGTATTGAAGTAGGTGAGAGTGTATACAGATGCGATTTGGAAAAGGCGCATCAAGCGGAAATCGTTGCCAAGTCGGCTGCATTACTAGTTAAGTGGGCAAACGATTGCAAACAAGCAGAATATGTCGGAAGCAGAGGAGAATACAAGAGAAGAAACGGGAAAGTACGGAGAGGATGAAGAAGGGGAGGAGAAGCCTAATGTTACTAACGTGCAGTCGGTGAGGCGAATCATCTGCATCGCTCAGTTGGTTTGGCTTGAAATGTGCCGAAACTATGGGATGAGTAGTTAATCCATACGCCAAGTAGCGTCAATTCTATGATGAAGCTTGTGGACAAGGTAGGAGGATATGGAAGTATCTGTTGTAATGCCACAGCCGATTCGGTGTTGGTAGAAATGTCGTCATCTTGAACGTTCTGGTTTGCATGCGACTCATTTAGTGCAGCATAATTGTAAGCGATTGTTGCAATTGTAGTGAAGGCGAAGTAAGTAGTCTGAAATCTGACTGTGTCGGCCGTAATAAATAGAATCGCAAAAGTGGAGAATTCCACTTCAGCGATAAGTGTGAGGGGAGAATTTCACCCAAGTGGAATCGCTACCGACTTGTAAGTACGAATGGGCCTCTACCATGTTCAATCTTCTGCCACGTGTGCTTTGGTGTAATGTCATTCTCGTCCATGTTAAAATGCGTGAGGAATGGGTGGTGCAAGTCATCCACCACGAAGTGGAATGCTCAGGTTATAAGTTTAGCAATAGTGCAACTGAACGATGCCACCGTTGACACGTATCGGTAGGGTGATCAAAGCAACTGCAATTTCCTCGATTCACAAACACTTAAATGATACTTTTCTCAACAGTCTGCTGCTCATCCCAGACAACAGTGCCATCAGCAAACAGCACCAATGCTGTGTGAGAACGGAATGGCACAAGGCAACACATTCGACTGGGAATCAAGGGGGGAGCGGAGGAAGGAAAGAAGCAAGGAAAGAAGAGAAGGGGTGCATATTCACAAACCTCATTGCCAATCGTCTCACTCCTTAGTGAGGTCACCATCACATCACATACACATATGAATGCAATGAGGATTAACCTCTTTAGCGTCCCTCAGCTGTGGGAATTTACGTCAATGCTTGAACTAATTCTACCATCTTGGTGCATGTTAGAACAGTTGGGTGGCAATAAATGATAAAGTGGTGTATTGAAGGAGGTGAGGGTTTGAATGTTTGACTACGGAGTAAAGGCTGTAAGTTCTGATGAAGGGTACAGTTCACAAAAGGGAGCACAGAGGGATAGAAGCTGCTAGGAGGACCAAATACCAGGCAAAAGATCTCATGTGTTAATGCAGACACAATCTTACTTCCACTTATACCTTCACTTCTTGCAGCAAGTCGGCGTAAAACACTTCACGAACACACCCAACCACCTACTGTAGGTGGAGGGTAACACGTGACAGTCATGCACTTACCGTTGGATTGCGGAAAGCAATGGAAACAAAAGTATTTCTGTAAAAGCATGCACAGGCGTCAGCCGAGGAATTGGGTTACTTCGTACTCATTGCAAGCTGTCTACTGTTTCGTGAACTTAGCCCATCCTGCAATCCGACACTCTTGCCTTCTGCAGCTACCTTCCTTCTTCCCTACGTCTACCCCTCACCACCCTCCCTCTAGTAACTATACCATCAACTCTCATACACAAAAAAGGCAACTCCTACGACTCAGACGACGTTGTCGAGATCGTGACCAGTGCATGTCTGCCTCAACTAATTCAACTTTTAAAACGATCTCCTCTTGCAGCTAGTGCAGGTGCCAGCTAAAGCTACTGTATTTATGGATAGTGCTAAGCCAGCCACATTCTACTTTCATGTGGCGGCCGTGGCGACTAATTTTAGACTCGTTGAAGGTGGAATGGAATGCAGCCAAATCGCATCGGCTCAAAGCCAATGCCATGTTTATGCGTGCTTTGATGCAAAAATTTGCAGTAGCAGTAGCGGTGAGTTTGTTACGCTATCACACGCCCTACCTCCTGCCGCATCACTGTTGCTTGGATGCATGTTGCTGACAAGAAAAGAGTAGTATGAGTGTAGGTACTGTAAACGCACCCCAACTCTCAGCATTGGGCGTGGAGACTCCGGATTAAATGCTGCTGGAAAAAAAGGGTCATTTGAAGGCAATGCTAATTGAAGTGGACGGATGTCATTGAGACTCAGTGCCTTGATTAACAGCAGCTGCCTGGATGTTGTCACTGTGAATCATGACTAAGACGCGCAGACAATCTGCATTTTCTGTTGGATCTAAAGTCTGAATTCGTTGGTGTATGAGATGCTTTACACCTCATTATCTTTAAGTTGTGACGTCTTTTAGGTGTGAGTTTCTCTTAATGCAAACTTTACCTAAAAAGGAGAAGGAGTGTTGGGTTGCATTTGAGGTATGAGCTACTAGGTGCTGATTTTGCGATTTAATCTAACGGACACACGCGATGGAGATTCATGTGGAGGAATGTAAAATGCGGAATCGAGGGGCGTAATGAGCATACCGGTAGTTCAATTGCGTGTGTGCCGTGGATAGGCTAAATTTCATCGAGTCTGCAACAAACGTGGAAAAATTCGTAGGCGTGTTAAAACAGGCCGAATTGGGAGTGTTTCTTAAAACGGCAAACGTAAACCGGCATGTAATCCACGAATCGTAGTTTATTTCTCTAGTTTTGGGAAATTTCTTTGACTATTAGTACTTTCGTCTCCCATGTTAAAGAGAGCAGTCTCTAACGGCTACGCATGTTTGCTCTGTTAAGGGAGTGATTGCCACCAGGGGAATGTAGAGGGAAGTGGGTTTGCAGCATGTTCGCCCCGAATGTGGTGAAGTAATAGTTCATTTCTTTGAGTGTTGGCCTTCGCTTCTGCTCGAGTCCCTACAGACCACGCTTTCGCTTCGTGGAATGTCCCATGACCCCTGCCACCAGCGTTGCAACCTTCTTCCACAGCACCTAGGGCTGCTTCGGCTTCAGGAACGACTCGTGGCTCTGGACAAGAAGAGGAGGCGGCTTGTCGACACTTGGCATTTCTTGTGCAACTGTCAAATCAACTCGGTCAAGCGCGCATCAATTTCTTTTTATTTTACACATTCAGAATACCGTGCACTATCAAGTCTAATAATGAAGCCTGATCATCGGGTCACAACAAAGCACCTAGTGCTAGTCGCCATTCTAAATATTGTGTTACGAGTGTGATCGCGTTGTTGCATTCATCAATGGAGCCCACGGAAACCTGCACAGTGGTTAGATGGAAGCGGTAGATGCTCAGCTGGTACTTGTGATGGCCAAGTGGGCTTGACACCAACACTGTGTGGAAAACAGCAATGTTTTGCATCTCTCCTTGGGAGAGTCAACTGCCTAGCATTCTTCAACACTTAAGGAGCAAGATGTGTTCATTGTATTTGTTGGATCAAGTTGCCTAAATCCTTACAAGTATGGCTTTAAATCCGCTTTGAATGATACACTAACATGGCAGTGGTTGTGTTTAGTCGTGATTAGGCTGCATTTCATTGAGACGGCAACAAATGTGGAAGGATTCGCAATGACCACAACCTCAAGCAGAATATGAAGAGAGGTAGGCCAGGTTGTGAAGGTGCAATGAAAGGGTAACTGGAGCTTAAAATTGGAACAGTTCCACAGATCAACCGAATAAACAGGCGCTCTGGAGGAGATGTTCATGTGATGGTGGGCCGGCTTCGACTTGGCGATGACCAGAAGTTGACATGACAACCAGCAGTGGTGAGGAGTTGCATTGCAGCAAGTAGGGTGAATAAAGGTTGCATTAGGAGGCAACGTGTAAATTAGCAGGCTGGACCAAGTCATCGACAGGCATGGCAAGGATGATGATGCTGCCAAGGGGTCCAACACCGACGACGACGCACACCGTTGCTTTTACAGGTACTCTTTGCATTCAAATTATACTTCTACTTCTACTGCATTCAGCATACCAGCGTCATTCACTGCAAATATACACATACATACCCAATCGCCTACACTGTGTAGTGAGTAACACGCGATGTTGACGTTAACGCTCGCATGGTTGGAGTGCTGAGAGCAGCAGAAGTAGAAGTGTAATTGTAAAGACACAAGCAAGCGTCGGCCTAGGAGTTCCACTACTTCGTACAAATGACACCGTTCGCCCTCTCGCGGACCTGGTCCACCCCGCAATCCGACACTTTTGCCTCCTCAGGCTAACTTCCTTCCCCTTCCTCCCCACTTCCCACCCTTCTCCACTTCACCTTTGCGTGCAACACCAATAACACGTCACCGATACCTCAAAGCCACTTCATCAGCCATTCGTCGTCGTCATCATCGTTGAACCGATGAACAGGATATTTAGACCTCAGTCACGTCAACTCTCTTAGCAGTCAATGCTTGACACTGGTACAACTTCAAGCCAAAATTGCCCTATTTTTTGAACCTACTTAAATGTGATCCACAAGGTACATTCCACTTCATGCAGTAATCCTTGCAGGTGGTTTCATGTGTATTGAAGATTTGGTGCAATGCAGCTGAATCGTGTCAAATCACGACCGATATCATCGTCTATGCGCGACTCAAAGCGGACTTGCAGCCGTTGTTGCAATCCCATACCATCCCTTCTGTCGCATCATTTTGTTGACAAGAATTGAGTAGCATAAGTAAATGGAATTAGAATAAATTAATCAACAGCGTTTAACATCATAAGGTGCGCTGATAAAAGGCACAAGTTCTTTGGTTATTACGATGCTTTTATGTAGTCAAGGAGGGGCGCGATAATTTAAAATGAAAGGCTTTGGTTGGTGTAGCTTAGCGCAGCGAATAGTGGGACAGACTTTCAACATGACCAAATTGGAAGATCGCTGTGAATCAAAAACAAGTGATTGGTAGTGGGTCATGTGCTTTCTCAGCCACTCAAATATAATCAAGCCTGTTTAATGTCAATTTGGAAATATAGTTGTGTATACCACGAATACACGTGCTTACCTATATTAATCTACTTGATAAAAAGCGCAAATTAGACGATTCGCATGGTTCTAACGATTATGCGTACGCTTCAATGAGCCACGACCTAAAATTTACCACGCATTTAGATGTCAACGCATTGTAGATACCCTCCTGGCTGGATCAACCTGTAACTCCCTGTAACTCGCCTTGGGATACTCAGCAACATATGCATCGAGGGTCTACTGATTATCCGATATGGTAGACAATGTCTCTGTCATTCTAAACGACGATGTTCGCGAATAGAGTTCATCAGTCTGCAATTCCGTATGCATCATTTATATCAGCTTTGCAAAAGGTCGCAGGTACTGCTGCTGCAGCCAACCTGCCCCTCCTGTTTCGGCTTACAACAGATTGCTCCTGTTTGAAATTACCTGCAATTCGTAATGTCCCTGAAAGTACCTGGATGTTATAGATCATTTGAAAACAAAAAAGCCACACATATGACAGTCTTATCAAAGGATTTTTAAAATTCACTTCACAGTTAATGCTAGCGCCTTCGACATTGAAATTGCTCTGTTTTTCCGTGCTTAGCTAAATCAACTTGCTTAACCGTCGTCAGGGCATTTACATCCCCCAAAGCTAATTTAACACTAACATGTAGTGAGAAATCCTTCCCTTTTAGATGCTCAATTATATAGGCCCAGTAAGGAAACAGACAAAGTGTGCAGATGAAAATGCCTGAACCCAGTCGGTCGATTGCCATGTATGACCACCTTAATTAGGACACACGTGTGATCCACAGAATCCATATTGCTTACCAGTTAGTTGAACACACCTGATTTGGCAACACGACAATATTACTTCCACCCTACTGACACACTAAACAGTCGCAAGCAATGTCATCGCAATGCTTTATACATGCTGCTGCAAATAACCTCTTTCATCTCGAGCAACCAACGGCCTTCCGATCTTGCCTCTATTCCTTGTTTCATAACTTCTTTTTCATTAGAATATTGCCTTGGTGGTGGTGAAATTCTGCTTCTGTCACCACACATACTACCAGTATCGCAGTCATTCAGGAAGAGAGGGTCTGAACCGATATGTCCAAACCGCGTCAAGTGGACTGTGGGCCGTGGACAATGCACACCTCTCAAAACCGTCACTGACAGGGCAAGGATATCAATGCCGCCATGATGGTGATATAAGATCATGGATGCGGGAGAGCTCGTGCATATGCATATCCAATGAGAACCATCTTAATGAAAGTCAAGTGAAGAAGGGTGAGAAAGCAGACCGGTTCATGGAGAGCTGTTTTCGAAGTCAATGAATGGCCAGTCAAATTCGCATTCAAAATGATGTCTGTAGAGAGCAGATGGATGCTCATTTGGAATCTATTCTAACATGTTGTTTGGAACTAAGGATAGTAATGTGCGACGCGTCATGCATAGTGCCCCATACAATCCTTTTAAACGCAACATTTCAACACAGAAATTTTGCATTTTTTCGAGGGCCCAGGGTCTGAAGCCTCCTTGGTCTTTGCTGTCACAAGTCTTCTACAAGTTGTTACTGCAGACCGCGTAACTTTCTCTGCAGTCCGCACTGACCGCAGCACAAGTATAGCTTCGAAGGCTCCAGAGAAGACTCGAAGCGAACCATATGTGCAGCAAGCAGGTAATGCAAACGAGTTAATCCATACTTAACCATCAATTCCAGCTAGGAAGTGAGTCCACCCAATGGGCGCAAAATTTATTTGTACGGAAGAAATCCTGTTGACAATACAAAGATGCAAGTGGAGGAGTTAGAGGGCATTTCGCTGCATTCACGTGAAGTCAAGTAGTGTGAGATGCTCATACAGCATCTACATGTGGAAGGACGCCATTAAGCGCTTTTAAAAGGGACGGTTTTCTTCTCATGGCAACTACAGCTTTCTTTGAGTCAATAAAAATGAGCGTCTTACACTACGCAACAAGTGAGGCATTTTTTAGTGAGTGCAAAGTAGCCCAAACCCTCAGCCCATGCCCGTGCGTGCTTTAACAGAACCACTTTACTTCCACTGTTCTCAGCAATCCAACTGTATGGTAGTGCATGACTGTCACGTGTTACTCTTCACCTACAGTAGGTGGTTGTGTGTGTGCGTTAAGTGATTTATGCTGGCGTGCTGCAAGCAGTGGAGGTATAAGTAGAAATAAGATTGTGCCTGCATTAGCACACGCGATCTTTGGTCTAGTGTTTGGGCTGCTTCGTAGCTTTCATCACTGCCCTTTCTGAAATAGACTTGTCCATTCCTCATGCTTGAAAGTTTTTCCTCCTTAGTTAAACTCTCAGTTCCTCACTTCCCACAGTAGACTCTCTCAGCTTTCAGCGCAACAACATCATCTTGACACCCAACCGCTCAAATATGCACCACATTAGCAGCAAATGAGGAATTGTCTCTGTGCATATGGGCACACATTTATGGATGGATGAAGAAATGTATGTGATCGTGTGTGCATAAATGAGAACAACGTGTAATTCGGCTTCACACTTTCCCTTTGGCAAATTTCGTCGTCTACGACCAGATTCAGACCGAAAACGCAGCGGAAAGGGGTTACTCACCACGTCTTGGGGCCAAATAAGCCTCACAGATTATGTGCAATACAATGAATTTTTGACTCTTTGTTTTGGTGAAGAGCCACTTATGACTTGGCCATTGTACTGCGCCGAGTAGACTGGCCTTCGGGCCATTCCAATAGCCCAAATGCCTTCTCCATGTCGAATATACATATATATGTATGTATATTCCTAACCCACATTGCCTTGTGTCAGTATCACCAAAATTAGCATGCAATGGAGGCACTAAAGTTGAGTCATCCAAGTTGGACAGAGAGGTAGCCTAGAGAATGAATGGAAAGAGCACTTTATTGCTAGAACTCAGGGTTGGCTTATTAGTCAACTTGCTCTCGGAGACAGTTGACAACCACGGTTCAACTGTTTGAATGTTCTAACATGATGTCAACCTCTCCTTCCTTGGCTTTGGTCTTTGGTCAATTTCATTTGCTTCCAATTAAGTGTGCTACATATGAACTGAAGTTTAATGTTGAAGATCTTTTAGTGCGTAAGACACTGGTGAGGTATGTAGCAATTCCTTCTAAATGCTTAGAAGATCGCATCTTTGCCCATACTGATTAATTTTTAGCAGAATTATCACTCTGTCGACCAGCAAGTGTCGAGCAGTAACTTCGCGCGATTCTTTTGCGGACCACCTGATCGGCCGAACGCGTATCAGCTCGTGACCTTCAATTTCTCTGCACATACCATCACAAGTGTTCAATTTTAATGAAGTTACGGTCAAATGGCAAAGTACAAACGTGTCTTGTGTATGCTGGGTTATTCAGACGGAATAGTGTAGCATTCACCAATGCAAGTGCTTATCCAAATGCATAGGAGCATAAATTTTAGTATTATAAAAATATTTATCCGTAGGCATATACAGGTGAAGGTGTATGTGGGAATAATTTTGCAGTATAAGAAGTGTTTTTCTGTATGTATGCACGAATGTTTGTGCAAGAGCATGAGTACTTGGGACAGAGAAGTTCATTTTCCACATATATGTGTATTTACATACAAAAAGGTAAAAGAGAGAAATTTCTGCATTAAAATTGCTATGCAAACATTAGAATCAATTGTGTGGAGTTGAGGATTAATTATGCACCAAAATACAGATTATTCATAGGCGTCTAAATATTCTTTTACATTATGAATAAATTTTTGCATTACAGGAATTGAATTATTACTGATTAATAGGCATAAATGTGTGCATAAAATTATTCTGCATTCAGTAAATTGTGTATTAATCCATAAAACTCAATACTATTCAACATACACTACTAAAATGTAGGGAAAATCCACATACGTAATGCGGTACTATATCTTCTGTACATGTTTATTGTAGATACGTACAAAATGAATCTTTCTAACGCCAAATTAAGGACTAATGTTCAACAGTCTGCGAGACGCAGAGTTGGCCTTGAACCGGAAGCAATGACGTTTCCCCGCAGCGCTCAGTCAACTTCATGGCACGTACTGCCTCTTCAAAGTGGATGGTAGTCAACAAAGACCGTACTAAATAGGTGAGCACTTAACCAACACTACGCAATCAAATAGAAGTCCTACTTTGTCTTCGAAAAATTATCAGCTATGTTTATTCCGTGGAAGCGGCAAACGGAGCCAACCTTGAGATACATCTACTCTAATACCCACCGTTGAGTGGTAAACCTTTGTGGGGCAGAATAAGTGCATATGCTGTGGGTGAAAGATTTGGCAATTATCCTAGCAGAAAGGCCAAAATCGATGTCTACGTTCAGCAGTCACTCAAATGTTTTGATCTACGAGAAACTTTTTAAGCCACTTTATATAACGGGCTTTATGAATTCCAGAAAAAGACTCCAGGACCCTGTAACGCAGAGGCCAACTTCCTACGCTTAATGGAAGGTACACTAATTGGCTAATTCACCAAAAAATTTTGTAATCTACCTAGATGGCATTTTTTCCTCGGTAGGGATACTTGACATCATAACGCCAACCTGAGACTGGTGTTGGGCTGGCTGCAAGAAGCAGAGTTGACCTTGAACCCAGAGAAATGCCACTTCCCTCAGTGCTGGGTCATCTTTATGACACACATTGCCTCTTTAAAGTAGATGGTAGTCACCGAAGACCGTACCAAACAGGTGAGCACCAAGCACCATCAATCAGAAGTTTGCATTTTTCTGGTCACTACAAGTTACTACAGTCTTTTTGTTAAAGGTTTTGCTAAGATCGCAAGCACTGCTGCCAGAATCAATGGAAGCAGACGAAATGGCATTTCAAGTAAGAGGAAGAACACGAGGAAGCGTTCTGAGAGCTAAGGTGGATGCTCTGCTTTGCATCGATTCTAGCACTACCCAACTACGAATCGTGTGGCCCACCGCTTGTACTGGATAGCGACACTACCGATGCAGCCGTGGATGGCATACTCTCGGAATAGAGAAAATGACAAATTGGAAGAGGACATAGCATTGCTTGCTAAATACTGCTCAAAACTCAAAAAATGAGGTAGAAATATGCAACACAACACAACTTAATCTGTTCGCTTTCTTCACAATGGTCTGACATTTCAAACACTACCTGAGAGTGAGGAAGTTCTCTGTGAAAACGAACCATCAGGAGCTCATATGATTGGAAATGGTGAAGGAGATAAACCGTTCAGTTGCACGCTGGTACGAGGAACTGCAGCAGTCTGAATCATAGTACAGCGCAGGAAAAGGAATACGCATGACAATGGAGACGCTCTGTCTAGCAGACCAGTCACGACGGAAACAGGCGATGTTGTGCGTACCAGACTCTCGAGCGAACCTAACAAACACCATCGAAGCAACATGCAGAGTACGAATTTAGACTTAAGTCTGGTCTACAGGATATTCCTCACACACCCTCCTATAAAGCCGCAGTGAAAAGGATGACCTCGTCAAGCAAGGCTAACACATAACAGCTTGGTTGCTCTACAATCATTATTACAGACAGTTGTTTAAGAGTTACACGAGCAACTGAGGCACGTGGGTTAAAAGTAGATAGTGGACGCCTTGAACAAAAGACATTAGTGGCTTTCACTTACTCTAAACGGACTTGACTTCCCCGCAAACTGCCTTACTCACAACAGCTTCGAGAGACCCCACTTCACATCTATTGCATTACTCCAACTTATGCCCACAGGGTTCCAGAGGAAAGAACAGGTGTTGACATCCTGGGTCTTCTACTATCGACCAGGAGAGGGAACCGAAATATTGTGGCTATGGTAAATTACCTTACAAAAGTAGCTGAGGCAGAACCTATGAAGACACAAGAAGGTGGGATGGTCTCTTCAGTTTTCTTCAACTGTTGGGTTTGGGATCATGGCGGCTCCAACTACAGAAAGCAGACTCCACTGAACTGTGCAAGACCTTCATGGTCTCACAGATGCACAAACAACACCTAAGCATTTGCAAGGCAATGGAAAAGGGAAAGGAAGAGTAGCACTCTGATGGGACTACTGAATGCATTTACTAAGGATACACAACTCGTAGACTGGGATTTAAGCCTAGGACGAGTCCTTCTCGTATACGGGGCTGCAGTCCACGCACCTGTCAGCGATCCGCCACTCAAAACGCTCACAGGTCGTGAAATGAGCGTATCTTCCAATATCTTCTTGCCAAGTATGCAAGTAGCAACTAACAATAAGTGGACTACGTACCGTGACTGAGAGCATTCATAGGAAATGTTCCAATATTACTCCTGAAGACTTACAATTGTCGTGTATCAGGCAGAAGAAATATTACGTCAAACACAGCAAGACCAACATTTACTGGAAAGGAGGGCTGGTACAACCACACAGGTTGATCCCTTTCCCTGGAATTAACCAGAATTCCTATCATCTGTGAAGTGAAGATGCATCTTCAGTGATGAAAGTCATCTCACCAACTCTGTACCTATTCGCAATGCACAACTGCGTACTGGACCACTCACCGCTCACCATTGCAAGATGCGTCCCTACTGAGGGTCACCACCTGTCGCGTACGAAGATGAAGTTTACATACTAACGGAACAGCGAAGACCACCGCCGATGGCATGTGCAGACACAACCCATAGGGGAAGCATCGGTGACGATGCTCAAAAGGACATGGGTGGTACCTTGCAAATCTTTTCTTAGAATGAACCTTTAAGATGAGCAGCATTAGGCGAATATGAATCTTGATTAGGAAGAGTCGTCAGAAACCTCTGAAGCAGAAGAGTGCTCCGTGAGTGCATACTCCGATCCCTACTCCCTACTCTTAACATTACTAATAAAAATACCTACACCAATTTGGTCTATTCGTTCAAGCTACTTGATAGTTGAGGATGGGAAGAGAATGATATTTCCTTCACAGCATAAGTTAACAGCGATTATTAACCCTACTGCTCGATGGTGAGCTTAGGTTTTGGTGTCTTCCGCATAATGATATTAATGGAAACGCACCATTAACTTTCTAAGATGATTTGCACCTTAACTGAATTGAAAGGCTTACTCTCGGCAAATCCCTCATACCAGGACGTAAAGTCACAGATGTCAAGTCTGATACACCATTGCTGTGCATTTCATGTGAGGCATTGAAATTCACGACTCGAGGCCGTCTGTGGTAGAACAGTTTGCAATGGCTATTTTTAAGGTAGCATGGGAAAATCTATTCAGCAGTGCATGTAAAGTAATGCAATGTGGTAAATACCTCGCCATACAACAAAATATATTTTGACATTCCATTTCTGAATCACAGATGACAATTACGCTTCATGAGCACTCAGTGAGCCTGCAAGTGTCAATGATTCACAGTCCACACTGCCAATAACGTCAAATTTTCCTCTGAGTGCATTCGAGATGGGAAACAGGTTGCAGCCCATCGCCACGATATTAAGAGTTAGATACAAGAAAATACAGTGGAGTATTGAAAAACAATTGATCTGGCGTATTAACTTTGCTGCTGAAGCAACACCAAGCCGTAAAAATGATCTGAGCTGCACCCAACCCTGGTTATCATTACATCCCATTACATTCTATACCATCAAGTCACCCGTATTCTGTGTGGAAGCAATGGGATTCCACAGTCGCAATAAATGTAAACGTTGTAGAGCTGAAGATTGAAGGACCCGGGCTACGTACTTCCGATGATGCTACCTGGATTGTGGCCAAATGGGCAAAGGCAGGGGAAGAGGTATTGCGACATTGGAACACACACAGCATATACGCACACGGTCACTCAGGCATACAGGCGGACGGGACAACATCAGCAGCAGCAGAAATTGGCAAGAGAGATGTCTGTAAGCCACACTTCAAGTGGCAAATCGAGGCGAAACGGTTGGTCGATTGCTGATGGACATTCGTATACATGAATGGAGATCCGGTGGTTGACTAGCCCTCACTACTTTGCCTGTTTATGGATCAACAGTCTTACGACTACTTTCAATTACCAAGTCGATCTCCGGTTAGGCAGTTGGATGCTTCTCTGTCTTATTCGGATGGATATTGTGTCTAACGTCCTTCCATTGGTGTGGACAATGATGAAGTTGGCCCTCAACAAGTTAGAAGTAGGCCATATGAATCAAGATGCAACCTGTGCTGGTTCAAGGGCGAAGTTGAAGAAGTTCTATCCGTCACTCTTCCGGTGACAGGCATTCCCTTGTCAAAATGGTAGTTGTCAAGAGGAGCAGAAAGGAACAGCTTTGAAAGCGAATACGTAGTAAGCAAGCCATTGCGATCTTGGAGGTTAATTGTGAAATCTAGCAACTGGGCAATGTCAAGATGGAGTCATCACCTGGCTGTAGCATTTCAAGGACGAAATATTCTAAGGACCTTTAGAATGGTGCCTGCTGCTTTCTGTGACTGTCCAAAGCTGCAATGGTGGTCATCAGTTTATTCACTCATACTCGGCAAACAGGCAAGTTTTCTGATTGTGGAGTACCTTTGCCATGCATTTGGAGTTTCTTTAACTGCAATGTCTTGAACAACTTATCTCGACACAGTACGTGGCATAACAAGGCAGCCGCTGGCGATAATGTAGCGTTTGGCGACACAGGTTGAGTCTTCCAACTGTCCTGCCTACTGCGGGTATGGCATTAGATCTTTTTTACCTCCTTCAAGCTGTAAGCAAAAGTATCCCTCACTAAAAGAGCGATGGGCAAAAATCTCTCTTAACCAGCTCTTGAGACGGTAAGGTTCGCCTTCTTGGTTATGCCACGTACATTACAGCCGTTGAGTCCAGGTTCGAACCAGCCACCAGATCCCTGCGCAGACGACTGGTCCTCACCGATAGACCCACCTTTTTCCTCCATTGGCTGTCTTCGGTGTGATTTTACAGCCAAACTTCGTGTATATTCGTGCTGCTACTGCTCGATCTACGTGCATGCCTGTGGGCGTGCCTGTGTGGCAGCACCTCTTCCTCTGCCTCTGTAAGTTCTCCCACTATCTCAGTATTATAGTCAAAAGGCGACTTTTGGCATTTCAGTCCCTCTATGCATATGATGAAGTACTTTCATGCACTCCTACGCTCCATGGTGGTCACTTTCACTACGCTTACCTGTTGTATTGCTGTAACGTCCATTTGTCTCCTACGTGATACGAGGGATAAGATTTAAGGTAATCAGGGCTGGACGAAGGAGATCAATTTGATGGCTGAGCATGATGACTCAAGTGAAGTACCAGAAAAAGGGAAAAGGAGGTGGTGGATATATCAACAAAGCGATCCGTTAGTAACTTATTCCTAAGATCATCGAAGTTGGGGGATGGCAGATAGACTTACACTCCACTACCATTTGACCATCCAAAGTGTGGATTTAAGAGGAGTGAGTGGTCGATTGATGCCCCATTCTGTGGCACGTGCACTGCGGTCAGGGTTCTGTGCCTGCTGGGAGAACAGCTCCAATTTCAGGGAAATTCATACAGTATTTGGGATGGCTGCCTTTTAATCAGTCGATTTCGGTCAGACTCTCGCGGATGGACCCTCGGGTCACGCGGATTCGCTTTTCGACTCACCCCACATTTACCTACGTGCTGCAAAATATGCCCTTGAGGGTAAAAAGGGATCCTCCTGAGTTGCTACGCATCATCCAAAGGTTTTGGAGATATGGATCCTAGGCGTGATGCCTGACTGCTGACTAACCACAAAAGAAACGACTAGATGTTCATTTGCATGTACTTACAGCATAGTATTTTGATTGATCCTCGACTTCCACTGACACGTGGCACATTGCAAGGCTGTCGACGTGTACACTTGAACAAGGAAACAGATTTCGACGCAGTGCAGAATCATCAGAAGTCACTCACCTTGACGATTCTTTCACAGAATCGGATTAGATAGGCTGGCTGACGCTGCGGACATTGGCATTGCTCCGCATGCCAATTTGGGATAGCCAACTGGTAGATATCTCTCGCTACCTTACACTCTTATCCTATTAAGGGGACTATGGTGAACTGTGGAAGAAGAAAGGATTTAAAAGACCTCATTACCCGAAACGCAGGACTCATGGCAGGCAACTGACCCCTAACCTACCTCTCGATCGACAATTATTTCCTCATTAAATGGCTGAGTTCATTTGAAATAAATCAAGATTGGCATTATGAGTTGTCACTCTGGGAAGTGATTAGATTACCATAAAGTTAAAATTACTTTTCAGTATCTTTGCTGTCACTAGTCGCATCTACGCCGTCTTTTGTGAGCACATGCCTCTTCATGGGCACCACATGGACAGCGTCACCCACACAGGTTGGTGGTCCTCTGTAGTCACTGTGAATGGCTTCCGAATGGGTAATTTTAATTGGTTTCATATTTTGTTTAGGGTTGGCCACAACAGATGAGACGCAGCTAGAAGGACTTATAAGCCACCAACTGCATGCTTAACTGCTTGACAGACTACCTATACTGATGACATGGTCAGTCGAGAATAATGAGTTCTGGTTACGCAAAGTGTAACAGTTACCCTTGGGTGCAGCCATTAGTACCACGTGTCATCCGATGGTGAGGATCAATCCCCAGTGCACATCACTTTTTAATCTTCAGCAAATCTGTGATACAAAAGTCGATTCTTGTCACCATTCATCCCTCTCAATCACTTCTTACCTCTCCCTTCACAGCCTGCTAGCATAAGGATGAGGTATCTACTTCAATTGAAGAAACTGCGAATTTTAGTACTCGTATAGTCTGTCTATAACTGCTAGGTGGGCAGAACTGGAGTCAGATTCAGTGTCTTTACTTCAAGGTTGTGGAGTTACTGTCAAAGTGGTGTCTTCTATGGACACTGACCACACGAGTTGCGAAATTCCTTGTGCAGTGAAATCTACAAAGACTTGAAAACACAGGTAATTTGAACTCCTGATTGCAAATGCAGGTGATAACTGACAAAAAAGCTGCACTTTGTTGCCGCATTGAGCCCCATTGGAGTTGATGATCTAGTTACGAATCTCCTTGCTGTCTTGTGCAGTGTCTTCAGATTCAGAGTTTAATGGGGTTTGGTCGACAGGGAGTGACACGATCTCATGAATGCAAAAAGCTAGTTTTCCACGAAAAGTTCGTTGGAAAACTCTCATCATCTCACACAATCCAGTGACGCAATATACGTAGGGGTCAGAGCTTTGAGGTTGAAACTGAGATGTAGTTAAATCCAATCCTTACCAGTAGCAGAGCCTAAATCTCCTCATGTCTCTCATCTACGGTAGGGAAAGGTAACTCAATGAGGGAACGCTTTAAAACCCAAATTATCCCGTTATTCTTAAGCATAAAGCATCGTGTGTGGTGAAGTGGGTGTCTGTGCGCTTGAGTTTGGATCCCTTAGAGCTCCCCATTGACACCATTTGTGCACGGATGTCTCTATTGCCGATGTGTCTAGGCAGGTAGAGGCACCTGGCGAGTACACAGGTGTCCCATGACTACCGAGGCACGATTATTTCACTCGGGTCTACCGATTGCCCTGACTGACTGGTCTTGACCTTACAGAGATCAGTGAGGGCACTTAAGGTGAAGAGAGTGAACGTTGGAATATTTATCGCCAAATGGAAACTTCTAGGAACCCTAACCTCCTTACACATCTGAAGCTGCTGAATATGTTTCCCAATAACTGCAAATGGAGTTTACATTGAAGACTTCAGCGAGCAGGCAAGTGTTTAGTCAGATTACCTCCCACAATTCATTCACATGCAGTGAAATAGGGAAGATGAGAAGTTTGACAAGCAAACTACTTCATGTTTCGAGGCACTCTCACAGCATAGCGTTCAATGGTCCGGTTAACCAGAGCATTCACCTTAGCGTGGATTTTCTCCTTCAGTGCAGCAAACTTCTGTGGCATTATCTTCCTCACCTTCTTCAGGATCGCCTTCCGAATCAGACTCGTGAAGACGCCGCTGTTGACAACAAAGCCCACTATCTTGTTGAAGGCGCCTTTGCCTTTGATGTGAACACCTTTCCACTGCTCAATGTCGACGTCTTCCAGGTCTATGGAAAAGGTTGCGAAATGTGGCAGATTTAGTGGCGAGCCATGAGGCAATCGCGACGGCTGCGGCGATTCCACAAACGGAAAGCAGATGCGGAGCCTGACATGGAGAATGAGTGGCTCAATTATCATTTCGACTGGGTGGAACTGAAGGAGGTGGGAAGCAAAAGTAAAAACTGTTACGGTATTTCATCAAAAAAAGGCTAAATTACTGTTGAAATAGGATCAGTTTGCAGACATATTGTGAGGGATGGACAGCGGGTGTGGAGTCTCGACAACGCATCACTATTCGCCACCAATGATGCAATCTCAAGGGATGAGATCACGCACTGACAAAACGGCAGTCAGAAGTGGATTACTTGCTGACTGAAAGGCCGAAGATATTAAGCTTCATGATTTGCTGATTGATTGGTCAGCCATCACGTTGGGCGCAAGCTTACCTACCACCTACTGTCAGCAAACTCACCATCTCTAATGCCTCAGATAAGCATGAGCGATTGCATTTGTAAAGGTGATAAAAGCCACTGTGTGTGTGTGTGTGTGTGTGTGTGTGTGTGTGTGTGTGTGTGTGTGTGT